TGTTGTTTAGTTCACTTCTTTTTTTTTGCCTGCACTGTGACTGTGTGGTTTCTTAATTTTTTATCAAAGAAGCCTCACACCACCCAATATCTAACTTCTTGAAAATGAGTTATTAATAAGAGGAGCTAACACAACAAACTTGCTAAATGTCTAGACAGATCACTGTTTCATCCTAATAGCAGCGTCCCATAACCTCAGTTCTGCTTGCACCGTAGTTCTTCACTCAACCTAGATTAGTCCTGTGAATACTTGAACCCCTGACACCAACCAGCTGCACCTACCAGAGCACTGCCAGCTGTGTCCACTGCCACTGGTTCTCTGCCTCATTCTCCCCGTCCAAAAATAATCTTCTGGTATGACAACAGAACAAGAGGAGGAAGAAAAAGAGAGCTGGCATCCATATCAAAGGGCCGAGAGGAGGGGAAGAATAGAGCCAGATGCGGGCTAGTTGTTTAGCCACATTGGTCAGCTTTGAATGAAACGTTCTGTAAGGGAAACAGAATGAATATGCATATGGGAGTTACTTATGCAGGCCCTGCAGGTTAGGATTATTAAGGATGCTGCTGATGAATTATCTTAAGGTGTGATATTAAACAGTACAATGTGTTTCCGTCAGGTGGCCCCAGAGGTAACTACATGGGAGACAGTAAAACATAGCTCTAATTCTCCTTCATGTTGTCATCCACAAAGCTTGACACTGTCATATCCTGAGTCATCCAGATGCCTTTTCAAACCAATAATTTCAGTTCATTGATATTCAATTCTAACCTTTATGAAGCAATTGTGGTCACAGCCTTTATTTCCTTTACTATGACAAAATAGTGGACTGGTCTGAAAAAAAAATATTTCAGATATTTTATAGCCTCTCAATTCCGCAGATACTAAGAGCAAAAGGTTTCAGCCCTACAAGACTACTTCAATTAGTTGTAGCCTTTGCATTTCCTACAGTATTTTTCCTTTACAAGAATTAGATTTTATAGATGTGTTTAAAAAAGAAGGCCCTTTACTTGATTTATGTTTATGTGGTCTGTCCCCCTTTTTTTGCACCCTGATTAAAGATAAAAAAATCACTTCTTGTTATTAAAGTTTTTATTTTTCCCTCTGAAAAACAGCATACAGACAGTATATCTAATGTAGTTTTACAAAATATACAAATCAGCAGGAAAAAAACAAACAAACAAACAAACAAACAAACAAACAAACAAACAAACAAAAAGACAAACAAACACAACCCCCCCACAAAAAAAACATACTTATATTCACTCACAAAAAAATCAATACACAACAGGCCTGTGATGTATTTTTACCTTAAGATAAAAGAGTCATATTTATATTAATATTAAACAATTGCAGTAGGATTCATTTTGATTATGTATCAATACGGTTTTGCACCAGAAAACGTTCCCAGGACTTCTTAAAGTTCTCACTTTCATTATTAATTCTATCTAACATTTGTTCATATGATATGACTTCTAACATGAGCTCCATCCAATTTTTTATATCTGGCATAGCTACACTTTTCCATAACCTGAGGATCACTCTAGCAGTTGTGACAGTCCCCAGCTTTATCACAACAAAATCCTGTTTAGATATATTAAGTAGTTCTGTTTGATCTCTCAACAGGCAAATTCGAGGGGACAACGGTATTGCTAAAGACTTTCCGATAGATTCTAATACTTTTTCCCAAAAAGGTAACACAAGTCTACATTTCCAAATTGCATGTAAAAATGTTCCTGTTTCATCCTGACATTTCCAACACAGATTATTTCCCATCAGACCCATTCTATGGAGCTTCGAAGGAGTAAAGTATAATCTGTGTATTAACATGTGCTGAGTAGATTTTCCCCTTGCCTCTTTTATGTTATTGCCTGACCTTGATAATATTTTTAACCATTCCTCCTCACTCACATTACACCCAGAGTCCATCTGCCAAATCCTAAAAATTACATGTGTTTTTTTGTAGTCTATTAAAAGTTTTATAACATAAAGCTGCTCTAAATGCTGTACCTGGCAACTTAAGAAAATCAACCACAGAGTTCCCACTCAGACTAAACTGTTTTTTGGTTATACAATTTCTAATTTGTAAATAGTTCCAAAAACAACCCTTATTGTTCAAACCATATTTGTCCACCAGTTCTGACCAAGACATAAGAACTCCATCCTTATACAGGTCACTTATCTTAAATCTACCCTTTATAAGCCATTAATTCCAACACACAGATCTTTTCCCTATGTGGAGGGTTGGATTATGCCACAAGGAGGAGTAATATTGTCTTAAATGTGAAACACCACAGATTTTATGTATCTCCCTCCAAACAGGCTTTTAGTGCTCCAGTATAGGGTTTGTGGAGTAGCCATGTTTGCTGGTAGTGGGTTCATGGGAGAGGGCATCCAAAGGTTTGAAAGGTTTTACCAGTTCTTGTTCAATTTTAACCCAGCTAAGCTCTCGGTCTGTTTCCTTCCAGTGCTTAACCAGCTTTGACATTTCAAATGAGTAATTATACTATCTTACATCAGGGAGGGCCAGACCTCCTACATCCCTCGGTGAGCACAGTTTCTTTAAGTTGATCCTTGGTCCCTTTTTGTCCCATGAGAAGTCTTTGATGATGAGTCCCATTGTTTAAACAGATATGGTGAAATATCAACTGGTAGCATCATAGAGACATAATTGAATTGTTGGGCAACCACCATTTTTATCACGTTTATTTGACCCCATAAAGAAAGTCTTAGTTTTCACCATTTATCCAGGTTTGCTTTTATTTTTTGGAGGAGCGACTCCATATTTGGAGATATTATCTCCCCCAAATCTGGACTAAGGTTAATTCTAAGTACTTCATGCCTGATGGTATCCACTTAAAATTAAATGACGTAATATCCTTAGAATCACATGTGTTGGATATCGGCATACCTTTCGACTTGTGCCAGTTTATTTTATAACCCGACAGTTTTGAATAAAGATCTATGCATTCAAGTAAGACAGGTAAAAGAATTGGCAGGATCTGAGATCACAGCTAAAATATCATCAGCATACATCAATAATTTGTGCTTTCGAAAGCACACATCCCTGCTGAGTGCTGAAAAAAAATTGATACCAGCCCATTTGTGATAACAGCTGCCTGTGGATTTGAGTACAAAACTTTCACCCACTTAAGAAATCCTGATCCAAATCCAAATTTTAATAGAGACTGCATTAAAGACCTCCACTCCACCCAGTCGAAAGCCTTCTCGGCATCCAGCGAGAAGGCTGCCACCGGTATTGTACTGTTGTGATTTCAATGAATGAGATATGCAAGTCTTCTCATATTATCAGCTGAGGATCTATTTTTAATGAAACCAACTTGATTCCCATTAATAATGTCTGGTAGCACCTTCTCTAGCTGTGGTGCTAAGGTTTTTGTTAGTACTTTACAGTCCACCCCGAGCAGACTTGCAGGTCTAAAATTTGATGGATCAGAAGTATCTTTGTCCTTCTTAGGAATAGGTGAAATTAAAGCCTTGTTAAAACTATCAGGTAAAGAGCATGTCTCAAATGCCTCCAAAAATACTGTAACACAGGAGTCAGAATATCTATGTATTTTTTATAGTATTCCACTGGGAAATCGTCCAAACCCGGCGATTTTCCTGCTTTCATAGATAAAATAGTTGCCTGGATTTCCTCCTCAGTAAGAAGAGCATCTAACATTTGTTTCTGTTCGTTAGAGATGGAAGGCATTTGTAGTGTAGAAAAGAATGCCTTAGTTTCTTCAATACTGGCTGAACAAGACATAGTATGAAGATCTTTATAAAAGACGGTATTAACTTCTTTTGAGAGAGTTACAACCCTATTATCTTCCTGAATCATTGCAATATTGAGTTTTCCTGCTGTTTCAACCGTCGGGCTAATAGTTTTCCATTTTTTTTCACCCCCTTCATAGAATGTGGTTTTAAGCCTAAATAGAGCATACTCAGCTTTTTTGTTGTATATGTCATGCAATTGATATTTAAGGTTACAGAGATTTTGATAAAGATTATAAGAATAATGCTGTGTTAAATCTTTCTCCATGGTCTGTATCTCTTTCTAATCTTTTTCTTAAATCCAAACCTACAAACATTTAAACTAACACAGCAGGATCTCAATAAGTTGTTAAAATAAAGTTCATTCTTTTTTGTGCATTCAGAAAATTGATGTTCATATGAACTACAAAAACTGACACAGTCTAATCCTACTTCACTGCAGTTACCCAGGTGGATGCTCACAGAAGCTCAGTACTCCTCAACAAATAACACTTTTAACAATTAATATGAGCTTACTTGTACAGTGTCATTATTTGAATTGTAGATTTACAAAATTGGTTCATTTTTGGATAGTTTTACATTATGGTTTGACTTCTAAGTTTATGGTGTTTATCAACTGATAAAAATTGTGAGCAATGTGATGGTGAGTCTGTATTAAGCAGAACTGAGTTGTAATGTATTGTCAATATCAAATTTTCGTATGGATGAGTCTTGTTGCATGTGAGTTTCCTTGTGAACACATACCTGCACTTCAGTTATATCATAGATTGTATATAGACTCTATATAGTATATACAGTCCATGAGTAATATCAGTGGTTAAAGAGGAAGAAGGTTCAGGCCAACTTGGCTGATTATATGAACACTGGATTTGGCCATTTAATGATGATCTCACAGGCTCTCGCAGTTGTACCTGTTGTGAGCTGAGACTTGGTTGCCATTATCTGGATAAAAAGAAGCTCACATCGGGGGTTAGGATCCCAGATTGGAGGGGAAACAAACTTCAGAAAAAATCTAGTTTCACTGCACCAACAAGTGTTACAAAACATGACTACAAAGTCATGATTCATGGTGGCTACAAAAACTTTACATTCCCTCTGTATTGTAATTTGCTTTAGATCCAAGTAGCTCCTAGGATTATCTAGTCATAGCCATTTCACTCACCTTTTGTGGTTGAGCGCCTTACAGCAAGCAGTCAGCAGTTTTCTGTGAATTACTTTGACAGGTGTTGCAAAAGAATAAAGTCACTTTATTCTTCTGAGAGAAAATCTGGTTAGAAGCCTGAGTTCAAATAGAGAAAATATCAAAACAACTCATCCTTACTAATAATTCTTAGGATTGGAAACATTTTCAGCTTTATCAAATGACTCGATGTAAACCTGCAGATTGCATATTTTAGGAATAAGGAATTAAGATTAAATAAAGATTAAAAACTTCATGAGACAAGGCTATCACAAAACATTAGACTATAAGAGGATGTTTGCTGCAACCTGTTTGCCTGTCTATATATGTTGGTTATTTTGTAGGTTGACAGAAAATGTTCACCAAACTTAGAGCTGTATCATGATCAATATCTTTACATGGTCTACTCAGTCATTTAACAGTTAAAAGTGTTGCTGAATTTAAATATCAAATGAAAAACGAGTTCTAGACAACTGAAATACAGATGTTTTCAAAATGAATGACATAATTATCAGTTGAAAAAAGAAAAAAACAACAGAATAATTTAGGTAAATTATCCCTCTGATGTTACTTAATTAAAACAAACAGCTAGCTGCCAATTTCTAATGGGCCTTCTTTCATCTGAATGAACACAAAGACCTGAAACCCACGTCTTATTGAGCAGTCCCATTGGAAATTCACAGATTTGGCCAAATTTCGAAGACAAAACCAAAACCTGCCAACAAACCCTTCAGATATCTATGCATCCACTGGCACACGCTGCCAATTAACATGATCTCCAAAACGTTAATGGAATCTTGAGCGGTCATAAAAGTAAATAATTAAATTAAAGGAACCCTTGTATTATTGTTTTCTGTATTCAGGCCCATTAGGAGCTCCAGTATTTTCATGGTAATCTAATATTTGGGTTTTCTGTGTTCTCATAATGAATTCTCTGTTTTTCCTCCAAACAGTGTTGTTCAGACATTTGTGTAGGTGCTGGCAGAGAAACAAAGACGTACATTAGGACCCATTGTCCCCTGTGATTATTTAAGTAAACAGAAATAGTGAAGGGGTATCATACACAGCTGCACACACTTGAGCCTGTGTTTGTGAAGTGGCAGAAAGGACCGATCAACCCTCAAGACTTTGTCAGGGATGATCCCATTATTTGGAACCTCAAGAGCAGAGCAGTTGGCCGGTTAATGAGGCTTTGAAGATCGGTCTTTGGCTCCAAATTCACCGGGAGCAGAAAATAAAGGGGCAAAAAGAAACTGGCACGAGATAAAATGCTTTGGCCAAGTAGTTCAATCGCCCAGAAGCCCCCTGACTCAGCCTTGCACTTCACAGTTTACTTTCCTTGTGTTTCATGAAATTTTACTTTTATGGACCAAGTGAAATAGCTTTTCCAGTTCCACATAAACACAAATGACCAGAGGTTCACCAATGGAAACTTATGTTTGTCCACAATAACTGTGTGGACAAATGAATGATGATTTGTTGAACCAACTTAGAAATAAGTTGGCAATTGCTTTTCAAAAGATCCAAGCTCCTGATTGGACTTTTTCTACTGTAATTTTGTGAGAACTATGAAGAAAAAAAAGTTTGCAATGATGAAAAATTGACTGAAGCATAAAAATTCACATGCAAAAACAACAAGGTGTGTGTTCATGTCTTAAAATCTGGGTTTTTAAGACCCCCCCCCCAAAAGAAAAAAAAGAAAAATGAACGCTACACTTACAAAAAAAAATGACATTAAATACAGGTGTCCATACTGTAAGAAACTACAAATTCTGGGCCCATAAGCTTCTCTAAGGGTGGCCTCATTCATTACCCCTGCAATTTCCACATTAAAGCCCCATTTTCTTGTAGTTTATTACCCTATCTTCCTTTCTTCTTCTGTGTAGACTTGATAAAGCATTCAGGCATGTCTCAGTCAGAGGGTCATCTAAAATTGAAGACTTCCCACAAATAAAGAAACAAGAAAGAGTTTGAGACGTACATTAAACGGTCAAATGAGAGCCTTACCCGAGGGACACGTTTTTCACTGTTGGACTATCAATCACACAGCAGTTATGTAGGCCTACAAAGTAAATGTGAAGGACTGGTGGTAAATCAAACTCTTGTGATATTTAATGTTTAAAAATGGTTCTTTAAATAGGTTCAAGTATTTCATGGCATAGCACAAGAAAATGTTCTCCAGCCCCAGAAACTCAACAGAAAGACCCAGAGAGCAGAAATATGCATTTTTTGGATGTTATTCCCAAAACATCTCAGAAAGCAACAGCATAGACTAATAATAATAATAAAAATAAAACAATAACTATTTTCCGTATGTCTTATAGTTTCTGCCAAGTGAAGTTACTGCATGTGTGTTTTGATAAAAGCTTACAACAGTTTGTTTGATGAAGATACTCTGACTGTGGCTTGATTCAAATTTTCAAAAAGACAGGACATAAATGATTATGTGAAGCAGGGACATGGCTGAACTGGTCAGGCAGATTTTGGCTTCATCTTTCCAGACTGTTTCTATTGACAAGGATTGGCAGCAAACCAAGGAACCCTGAAAGTCCTGTAGTACCATTAAAACATCTTGAACTAATATGTCTGTGCTGCTGGGGAAAAAGTGGCTCAGGAGCACGGACTAATGAGCAGGGGAGAAAGTCAAGCAGCCAACCTCTGCCTGGAAAAGCTGTTTTGTTTGATAAATACACAACTGTTTTAGGGGTGCAGAGATTACCTGTCTTGGGTTTCATGTCTACCTGAAATAACACACCCATATGGATGGCTTATTTTGATCATCTTGAGCCTGTACAGACCCTGTATTTTTACACCTTGGATGTGAAATGTAAATCCATAAATGTAAATCTCTCTTAGCCTTTTATTCCCTTTGATTCAGCCATGGCCCATTTTCAGCATATTCCTGTGAAGTAACTCTGGTGATAATGTATCATATCTGAGCTCCACCTGCAGCCTGAATGAACACTTAAAAAACAAGCGAGGTTGTGTGGGTGCTTTTGTGCGTATTTTGTGTAATGTAGCATTCACTTTATGCTGTTGAAGTATCTTTGAATAAGGGTACTATGTGCACAGAAACATCACATGTCCAGAAACAACACTCGTGGATCTTCAACCACTGCTTTGATCTTGCGTAAGAAAGTGACTGCCTCTCTGCCATCCACAAGTCTATGGTCGTAAGTCAGAGCCACGTACATCATGGGCCGGATTTCAACCTGCCAGAGCACAAAGTAGTTTCAGTGTTTGCGCACATTCACATTTGAAGCACAAAGCAAATCCATTTTGGTGTGTCTTAGGGATGGGCGATAAATATTTGCCATCTCACGATAAACGTGATAAATGCAAGCCGATGGCGTAAGCGCAAGAGACGGACTTGCTACCGTGGCCCACACAGAGCAGAAAAACAAACAAACATGGCCGAAGGTGATGAAGAAGACTCTTAGCAGCTCATTACTGAACGAAGCTCCACATGACGGTTTCCTTCAAGATTGGGCCTTAGATGAGTGAAATCAGGTATGCCTGACATCGGACAGTCGATCTGCTGCTGTTCATTTTGTGCAATAAGAGTTTTCAATAAGTGTTGAAAATGTTTTCACATTTGAGACGTGTTTGATGTCATTAGTTTTCTCTATAACAGACTACTTAAACTTGTGGTCGAGTATCGTATATGACTACTCCAATTGATGTCCTCAAGATAAAATTAGTAAAAATCATAGATTTAAATTATATTTTTTTTATCGGGACTTACCATTATTGCAAGAATGACAAAACTCATTGTGATAAATTTTTCAGCCCATATCGCCCATCCCTAGTGTGTCTGAGCATTGTGGATGCATGTAGCTTGTAGACTTTGTATACCTCATCTCTGTCTTACACATTTCTTCAGGTATCAACCTACTCATGTCACACCCGCGCCAGTAATGTGCAAGTTTGAAACACTCGCATCCCTCTCTACACACAGAAATAGAATTGAATTCTAACCTTGCCACTGGCAGCCACAGGTCGGTCAAAGATTCCATGCATGCCCAGGATGGCAGATTGTGGAGGGTTGATGATGGGAGTGCCAAACAAGGAGCCAAACACACCGCCGTTACTGATGGTGAACGTCCCTCCATCCATGTCCTCCACAGCAAGCTCATTTTTACGAGCCTGAGGTACATGACAAAAATCCTTCACTTGAGTTCATGATAAGATTAAATCTATGTTGGTTGATTTCCTCAAAGTATGAAGTTGATCAAAATGAAAGATTGAAAAGTGATTCAATTATCTTAGGAAGACAGTCATCTCTTGAAACAAACATGTTTTACCTTTTCTCCTAATGCATTTATGGCTTTTTCAATGTCTGTAAAGTTCATGGTCTCCACATTTCTGATCACTGGTACAACAAGCCCCTGAAACAAGCACACATTACCCCATTACATTTCAGTTGACCAAGCCTTTAACAGCAAAAACCTATTCATGTAAAACTGTAAGACTTTTTAAAGCCATAATCTTACCTTTGGGGTTGCCACAGCAACACTGATGTCTACGTACTCTCTATAGACAATCTCTTTGGTTGTATCATCAATAACTGCGGGAAAACATTTGTGTATTAGAAAAAAAGTACAAAGAGGTCTGTTACAAAAAAAGAATAGAGACTCATGGACGGCTTATTTTTACAGAATGAGAAAAACAGCAAGCAAGTCTTTGTGTCTCACCAGCATTGACAGCAGGTTGGTCAGTCAGAGCATGTGCTGCCGCCTTTACAAATGCCGACATGAAACCCAGCTTGACGCCGTGCTTCTTTAAGAAAGCGTCCTTATAGATGGTCCTCATTTGCTGGATGTTACTGGATCCAAGTTCATGACATATTAGACAGTTTGTTAAAATACAGTTCGTCCTACCTCCCTATGGTTTAAGCAGATACTAATCTTTCAGGGAGCTCCTGTGGCTCACCTCATGTCCACCTCGTTGAAGGTGGTCAACATAGCACAGGTGCTCTGAGCCTCCTTTAGCCTCTGGGCGATCCTCAACCTCATGCGGTTCATCTTCACCTGAACAGGGAGGAATAAGTAAAGTACCCCCTATCAGACTGATATTTTTGGAAGGTCATGATCAAACAGTTATTTACAACATTTATGCAATGAAATAAAGAAAAAAGATGGATAAAACATGATCATTTTCCACGAGCCTGTGTGTTACCCTCTTTTCTCCTCTGGCTCCTGTTGTCGAAGGTGATAGTTCAGGAGGTGCAGCAGTTGGCTTGACAGCGGACACTTAAAAAGACAAAATGTGACGTCAGAGGTCAAGGCAGTGCAGGAGTTCTACTTGAATACATACAGCATGAACATAAAAATGTTTTTGGGTGGAGAAGGCAACATACCAGGCCTGGCGGGGGCAGCCTGTGGTGGCACTGGAGGTATGGCAGCAGAGGCTGAAGTCGGAGGAGTTGGTGATGGTGGTACCGGTGTTGATGGAGGCGGAGGGGCTGCAGCTGGAGCCTCTGCAGCTGGTGAGGGGGCAGCTTTGGCAGCAGCAGAGAGGGTGTGTTAAAGAAACAGTTCAAAAATATAGCTTGGGTCTCATGATTCACAGAGCACGTTTGAGTGCTGCCAATCATTAATTTCATGCAAATAGAGTAGGTACTCAGCAACAATGTGATTTGAATTTATTTGACTTAAAACACAAGAACAGCTGAATTGGGACTGAAGCGTCAGGCACAGGAAAAACGCATACAATGTTTTCTCTTTATAAAAACATGGCCATTTTTTTTTTTTTAGTTTTTGCAAGAAGCTGTTTTCTGAATTTGAAAGACTTTGTTCTGGGTCAAGACAATGTCTCCCCACGACAGTAAAGTATCAACCATTAACTGTTCAAAGTCATTTGACCGACTCTTGATGATAGTAAACCCAAAAGTTTGTCTCCTTTGAAGATGAAATAGTAGCAATAGTAGCATGAAAGAGAGGCTCACCTCCTTTCCGGAGTTTAAAGAGTGGTGTCCCTCCTTCTACCTTCCCTCCATCAGGTATCAGCAGCTCCTCAATGACACCAGCTGCTGGGGCTGGGACTTGTACAGAGGTCTGGAAGAATCAAATACAGATATACACATTTTAAATAAAATGAAAAGAAAAAAAAATGTACACATAGGTTTAGTTTGATGATGATCCCCCTTCATACCTTATCAGTCTCAATTTCACAAACCACTTCATCTTCAGTCACTGAGTCACCCACAGCTACAATATAGAGAACGAAAGAGAGTCTGATTCAACATCTGGTCTATTGGTAACATAATTTCTGACCGTTCTCAAACACTGAGAATATTTGACCCACCTTTCTCCCACCTCACGTCTCCCTCTGTAACAGACTCCGCAAAAGCAGGAGTTTTCACTACGACTACCTCATCCCCTGGTAAAAAAAAAAAATAACAGTTAGCAAAACCCATCAGAAACAATGTGAATACTGAACTTGGGGAATTGCTGAATTACATACTGTGAACAGCAGATGACTTGAAATATCTGATGCATTTTGCTGATGATGGAAATTCCCATCTATAGATTGAGAAAACAAAAAGTTTTTTCTTATTTTTAGAGAAATGTTGGAGTTTCTCACAACGTCAAATTAACTATAAATGCATACCCTCATTAAATTCTTCATATGTCAACTTTACACCACATCAAGTCCTTCTGAGTCGAAACATTCCCCTAAAGTAAATGACTCGGCTAACAGTATAGAATGAAAAGAAGAATGAAAAAAAAAAGGGATGGAAATGGTGAAACACGCAACAGAGTGGAGAGAGCACTTACAGCTGAGATTTCCTGTAAAGTGGTCGGCTGCAGACAGAGGGGCCTTGAGATTCACAAAGAGAAAGAACATGAGGTGTGGCGTTTCACCTGTGACTCTGGTATGAGAGTGGGTGTAGTGTTCCCCTATAGCGGTGATTCTTGAACCTCTGAGGATAGCGTACCCCTTTGAAATATCTCTTTTAGCCATCTACCTCCAAACCAAAACAAAATATATGGTAGAAATGTATGTTCACATAGAGGCACAATAAGTTGCTGTGCCACCTTCATTTTCCTCAGTTCAAATTGTATTTCACAGGTTTTCTTTTAACCTCTTTCTAGACTACTTATCTTTGTTACTGTTGCATTTTGACCACAAATCAGGTATCTTGATTTTTGCCTGCCATAAAATTGACTTTAATACCGTTTTTGAGTTATGGTTTACGCAGGTCATGAGTAACACAAGGTGACCTACCAATTTATCATTTACACAAATTTTTTGATTAAAATTTACACAAAATACAGATACAACTACCCTTATTACTACATCATCTCCGACATTTTAATGGTATCACAAAAACTTCCAATGATCCAATCAAAGAGCTTTATAGTACATAGGTGATAACATTTAACCAGACATTGAGAAATTAGACATCACATTTTTTTAATGAGGAACTCAAAAGACAATTCAAATATATGACACTTACTTGATGCACTCTGTCGTATCAGCACATTATTTGCCTGAGAAGACAGATAGTGTGGGCAAACAGGGAAAAGAATACTTTTAGTTTTTTCCTCAGATTAAAAAAAATCCAAGTACTATTCATGAAGCGTCAGTGGCTTCAATAAATGATAATTTTATATATAGTTTGTTATCTGTGAAAGTTTTTCTTGATTTTCTGTGATCAAGAAAAAAAACAAAAATGTGCTCTCAATGCTGCCATTTTTTGTTGTGTTTTTTTTTTTTGCAACACCAAAGGCCAAAAACCTAAAAATATTTAGTTGACGTGATGCAAAACAAGAAAACTCTTACAGGAGAGTTTTTTTTTTTCTGTTTGGCTGAAAAAGAGTGATCTGTTTTTAAGAATATCACCAGAGTCACACCGCTGGATTTTCTAATGCTGACAAAATCAAGCTGCTCCATCTGTGCTGCATTGCTGCCTGTTATGAGTCATGTGTGTGTTTTTTTTTTTGAGGGCAAGGCCTCTGGTTTAGAAGCTCATGAAGTAAGTTGTGATCTCTCACAAAAATCCCACTGGTGCAGGATGCCAGAGGAGGGTGGAGCTGTGAGACACTGACTGAGTCAAATCAGGACGATCAGTGTATGATCAGGCAGGCAGCCAACACTTTACTGGAGTTTTTATCATACTTTCTCTCAAGGTTTTGATGTAAAATGCAGAAAACTTCTGACCACAAACAAACAAAACAAAACAGTTTGCTTAAACATTAATTTACAGTATTAGGAAAATCTGAAGCAGAGAGATATATAGAATTTGGTTTTAAGTTCCTTTAATGTTGTACTCTGTATCAGCACTAAAGGACAGCCCCTTCTCCAATCAGATTACTTGGTCATACACACTTTATTCAAAAACTTGATTAATCTAATGCAGAGTAATGCTACCATGATTGAAGCTGTTTCAGTGAGGCAGTGGTTATGATGATCATCCAGAATCCTTCACACCTACAAAAGTATGCTGGACTTTGTTTTCTTAACTCAGCACATAAGCTAAACTGATCACAAAGAGCAACTTTCAAGACACCTGTACAGTCATTCACCTAGTGGCAGGTCTTTAGTGAGAGGGGTGCATTTTAACACCCAGCGTGCAGTCAGAATAATGTTTCAGCCTCAGTGCCTGCTGCTTTCCGACAGATCAACATATGTGAGCAAAGATATGCTATCCTAACAACACATATGTCTGACCCACCGCGCACTCCTTCACTAAAAGCACAAGTTGGCATAAATTCTAAAGCATGTACAGACTGCTTCCAAGGTAAAGATAATGGTTTGAAAAACGCGTAACTTCGGTGGGACAAACGTACCAATTTCTTTGACCCATAATTATCAATGACTCGCTGTTTAAACCGTCAAATGACACTTTTCTCTTTCACAACTAAACAGCTGATAAGACATTGAAGCCTTTCGTTAAACTTGAGCGTATTTGCTGCCTCTTGAGCTTACTGTCCTTCCTTGGTAGGCGAGGCCCGTGTTATGGCTGTAAAAGTTACCCACATAAGTGGCGACTTTCGAACGGATTCTAGTGACAGCCGTAGGACAGCGGTTGAAGACGTTATTGCGTTTGCTTCTTACATTTTTGATATAGGATATATCCTATCAGTAAATCCTGGTATAACCACCATAAAAGAAATTATTGGACACTCTAAGACGGGCTTTTGTGTTACAACAACGTCTGTGGCTACAACGACAGACGGCTGAAAATCGCGAGTCAACAGGGTCGCTCTTCTTGCCGAAACACCTTGCTACACAAGCTAACTTGTGTTCAATGCGAGCTAGAAGCTGGGTCTCATATGAATGAGTTGAGGATGTGCAGAGCAAAAATATAATCTCTTTGAGTGAATTATTAACCCACCTGGCTCACTGCAGACAGAGGACGACCCAGCGCACGATATGCACATCTGGACCGCGACAACATAGTGCTGGCTAGCGAGTGTATCCTTTGACTGCGGTGGGAGAAACAGTACGGAAGCTGGCGCTGCTTTCAGGGAAGAGGGCTGTCCGAGTGGGAAGAACCACTACATCTATACAGGGGGATAAAAGTTGAAATAAAAGGGATTTTTTTTCAACATTAAATGATCTTAAACGATTGTACATTTACCTTGTACCCATTGGAAAACCAATTCCATAACAAGCACACCCTAAAAACAATAAACGCACAGAACAAACATCAACATCTACACTGTATTGTACTGCACTTAACAAACATTTTATAATTATGCTATTATACTGTGCAGGTAGGGATTTGATAGGTTGAATATTAGACCACTCCCCTCTTTTTGAGAGTGTCTCTCGGTACAAATATTAGAGTAACTTCTCCTGCTGCTAGGTTTAGACTGACAGCCTTCTCCTATCCTTTGCAGCAGACAACAGGTGGGTCACATTATTTTTATCTGCTCCTCTTGTTCCCATTATTTTCTCTGATACAGAAAACAAACCTTAAATGTTAATCTCAAATCAAATGCTCCATCTAAAACCATAATTTTTGGGATTATATAACTGTATAACCTCAGCTAAATGTTTAAATTATTATCACCCATTTGGAGCTCTGATTAGTTGATGTTTATTTGAGTAAAAGTATGAAGAATAAATCGATTACATGCATTCAATGTTCCGAAATCAAAATGTATGATTTTCGGTTTTAAATCTGCACAACAGCTGCATCTCCTAAAAATGACATTTTATTTTCTTTTTTCCTCTTGCAGTTGTCATATTTTGCATCCTGCCCTCCACAATCAAAGTGTTTAAGGCGGGAGTATGTATTATTCTTGCAATATTTGCCCTGATGGCTGCTCTGCTGAAAGTTTCTCTAGTTCCCAATCTGATCCCTGTCGAGCTGTTTCTGTAGCCTTACAAAAAGAAAGTGAGACAATGAAAATCCTACAGAAGCAAATTTATTACAGCAACAGTGATGTTTGTTCAGGGTTGATCTCTTCCAGCCAGCAGGAGCTCAATCCCTCTAGAGACAATGGACATACACCCACAAAAAGGCACCCATCTGCTGTGTTCAGCTCTTGTGGTTACCCCGAGGGGGACCAAAACAGTGGTCATGAAGCAAAGCGTGCCAGAGTGGAAAGTATCATCAAAGGCATGACCAGCTCCCCTGGTATGCAGTGCGCAGATATGGTGAAAAATCAGTACAAGGAGTCAGACAGCATGGAAGAGAATGACAAGATTCAAGAAAAGCTTTTACAACGGAGAACAGGTGTATCTGGTAGCAGGGGCCACAGCCAGATGACAAAAAAATACCCTCAAAGTTATCTCAGTGCAGGATTTGATAAGATGGATGTACCAACTAAAACTTTAAATGATGGCGAGGAGGAGAAATATCAGACTTTAAATAATCGTCTTGAAACTTCTCAAACTGATGATTGTTTGGATTTATCTAGTGAGTTAGACAGCAGCTCAATTACAGAATTACAAGGATGGAAGAAAGTGAAGCTGAAAAACAACTTTCAGTCCAAACCTGAGAGAATAAAGCTAATGGCAAATGTTTTGAAATTTGAACTTTCCAGAGCGGTCAGCAGGAGCGTCGACTTTATTTTTGAAAGCACACCACTCCTTCAGACATCAACTGGTGAAGGAACGGAGTCGGATGCCTTTTCCGAACCATCAGCTCACAAAAATGGAAATCTTCAACTTTCGCATGGTGGGAACACAGTGGTGCCAATCCCAGACGTCCAAACAGAAGCTCTGTCTCTTGTTGTACAGAAGCCTCAACATGAGAAAGACGACGAGTTTGTCCTTCAGCCCACACCAAGAATCATCTTGAGTCCCAAACCACAAGTTTCCTTATGTCAAGAGACAGATCTGTGTGAAGACAAGCTGTCTGAGAAGAGTCACTTCACTGCTTGTCAACATGCTCTCAGCTGCTTACAAGAAGTGGGTCCAGTAAAACTTGCAGCGTTTAATACCCATTGGAGTTCATCTAAAGTGAGGTCAAAGGTCAATTCCAGAAGACCGTATGCTCAGACTGTGTCAGTGGATCCTCTGCTTTTAGAGCGCTTGTGTCTCCCTCATGTCAAGATTGAGTCTGATAGTCTGATGAAGAATAACCTCTACATGCTGAATGTATCCTGAGCAATGTGGGCTAAGTAATGATCTTTACCTCCTTCTTAAGTCGAAGTCAAATATTCTTCTCTTGGTTATAGCTGAAAATATTCTTTCCCTTTCTTTTGTGGTCCAAAATGAACAAAGTATTTGAAACTGGGTTGTTTTATCAACAACTTCTGTTTGTGTTTTTTTAGCGTTAATGAAAAAGTGTTTCCAACAACAAAAACAGTGAAACTCATACTGCTCTTTACCCCTTAAGATTTGTGTGTTTGATCCTTAAGAACGGTACTTTTAGGAAGGTTTGACCACGAGTCATTTGAAGAAAGCAAAGCTCATGTTTTTCTACACTCGCTACCCAAGCTCCATGGTGCTGAAGATGTGTTTCCATGATGTGCAGGTGAGTGCAACTGTTTAAAAATACCAATATAAAACAAGTTTGATATAATTTACATTGTGATGTTTTCCTTGCTGTTTCGAGAAAAAGGTGTTCTAACAAAAAAGCATTATAAACAGTTTTAAATGTGCTGCACAATTAAAGATTTAAAAGTTACTGAAAGTGTTTCCAAATAAGAAAATACATTTTTAGTGCTACAGTATAAAGAACCAGTCCAAGGCAAATATGAACCATTTGTTTTTATTTATTCACAGCATTATCATCAAACATCATCAGGATTAATAACTGTACCCTGCTATTTTAACACTGTGGGAAAAATTGACAGACATATTTTATATTGCATCTTTTAATGAGGGTAATTGGCTTCCCCATCACTATAAATTAAGTGCAGGAAACCTTTGATAAACTTACCTGCCTCTTTTTCCTCTTTTTGTCTTCTGCAGTTCACCCGCTGCATCACTTCTCAGCTCATCAAGTGGTTCAGCAACTTCAGGGAGTTTTTCTACATCCAGATGGAGAAGTTCGCCCGGCATGCTCTCATTGAAGGGTCTACAGATGTCAGGAGTTTGACTGTGGGGAGAGAATCAGAGCTCTTTAGAGCTTTAAACACGCACTACAACAAAGCAAATGACTTCCAGGTCAGTAAAACTACAGACTGGAAAGGCTATACACTATCTTATCATTGTGAATTTGTCTAATACTCATGAATTCTCATTGTCATTTATGTTATTTGGGTTTGAGAGCTTTCAATGCGGTCATTTTAAAGTCTTAATGAGACTGTTTGCACTCCAGTGTGGTTTCATTTACTCTGGATTTGTGTGTGTAGGAGTGTGTATTAGTTTCACATTTCTCATAAGTCTCCACTCTGCTTTAGTTCTGCATGCGTGTGACAATGAGCAAACAGTAGGGCGGTAAAAACTAGGGCAAGACATTTTGACATGCTTCCTAATTTTCATCTTACATTTTTGTAAAAGTAATCATTCTTTATGTCGCTATTGGATTTTTTACACAGCATTAGGTCACAAGCCAGGCTACAGTATTATCGATGTTTAAAAACGACACCAAAAGATACTCAAATAAGCATTTTGGGAAAAAGTCACCGACTCATTTTGTTGGTGGATAAAGTTTAGAGCACAATGATTGGACTTTTGTTCAGGATTAAAAAGAAAGGCTGCCAGAACAGCAACTTTAGTTTCCAGTGTTATTGGACATACGAAAGAAAATATCTCTGTGCGTTCTTATTCTTCATATTTGCGTGAATGAGGAAATGATTCTTTTCCTTAATCAGGAACTGATAGTGCAATCAAACGGAGGTCTTGATTTGTGTCTTTCTACCAAATATGGTCATAGTTTTATCCAGCATTTTTTCCCCTGTGTAAGTTCAAAACAGTAATAATATCACAGAGTGGTAGTATCAAATAACTGAGACTTATACAGAGCATTTCGGTATTAAAGGGAGACTTTAAAAACAGAAGCATTTCTTAATGAAGTGAAAATGCTGTCATTAAGAACCCAGGTAAAAAAAAAAAAAAAGACGGATAAAGGTAAAACATAACCAGCTCACTTGCTTGGGATGCAAGTTTTGAAGTGAACATCACAAGGACATTGCCTTCAACTTGAATTGTTATGAGTTTTGGTTTTGCATTCAGATAACAGGTCATTGAGGTGTTCTGGTCTTTTGATACATTGTTACTTATTTTTTAATTAGCACACGTTCACTGGATCGACAGAAAGGAATGAATGTTTTATATATTCCACAATTAACTAAGGGCTATTTTTAGACCATGGAGCTTTTAATTCAAATCCATACTCATTTTAATCCACTGACTGTATTTAACATGTGTACCTAAGCTTGACCCCACACCATATGCTAAAAATTGTGAAAATCTATTGTATAGTTTTTGCGACATGGGCCCCCCCATGTGCATACAGGACACAAAACATTGCTTAAAAGAACTAATCCGCCTGTATTATACTCAAATATTCAAACATAGTCTCAGCAGTTTAGCCGGTTAAATTAATGACCTTAAAGAGACAGTTTTATCTCACATAAATATAACCATGAAAGCAAACTGAGAGACCAGGTTTATAGTCCCACAACATAGTCTACTACAATTTACATTCACTCCATTTCACACACATTCACAAGAGAGTTGGTAGAGGATGCGAGAGGACCGCGCACCCCATCAGGTTCTTCTATATTAATTATTATTCATTCACTGTTATTCACTGACAACTATGCTGCAAGAAAGGTGGAAACTGCCAGTAACTTTCTTTGATAGAAACATAAATTTAGATTCTACCATCTTTTATAAACTTGGTACAAAGTTTAGTTTTCACTTCAGGTCAGCACTGCATTTTTAACAAAACATCTCAATTGGCATTCTACATATCCACAGTGATTTAACATTTCATATTAAGTACAATGTCCCTCTGGCAGGAAAGACAGAAAAGCTGATAAAGGAGAGAGGGGGAGAGATTTGAGTGCATGAATGCAACCTGCTTCTGATTGGCTGAAATTCTGAATGGGGTCTTGTGAGCCAGTTTGTTACCATTTACAGAGCAAGAGACAGATCAGCTCCAAGCAGCCTTTGAATTTAGCAAAGACTGTCATGTACACTTTACCTTTCAATTAGTCATTAATAAAAACAATTTTATTTGCCAAACACATTAGATTTTTACAGATTTCTGCTAAGTCTTTTCAAAACACACAAGGACAGATGATGTCTGGGCAACCCACAGTTATATATATGAAAAAAAAGCTCTTTCAAAAAAAAACATGAGTGCCTAAAACAGGCAAGGAAAGCCTTTTAAAATCAAGGTGTTTCAAATATGATAACCGTTTCTTGTAACTAGAGCAGTAGATATTTTTGAGTTTGACATGTTTCATGGTGTTGAAACATGTCAAAGTAAAAACACTGGGTCTAGCTAGAAAAATTGATTATTACAATAAACAGTCAGACCAAATGAACCTTTTTGGATTATAACAGTCATGTTCCTAATTTTATGAACCCCCTTAAAAAAGTCAAGTCATAGAGGCAGTGGATTTAACTTTTGATTTTCTCTTTAAGAGACAGAGAGGACAGAAGGGAATCAGCAGCTATGACTGACAAATCTTTTTTTCTTAAACTTTCAGCTAATCAGTTTTTATCAGGCAAATGATGCACATGAACATTTACAGCAGTGATAGTGGGGTTGTTCATCTGGAAGCATAAGCTTGAAAAATATGTTAAATTTGTCTAAAAAGTCAATCAAGACGAAAAGCTCTTGGAAGTCAGCAGTGTCTTTGTGTCTGCAAGACACGCTGGCATCTTGAATATCATGATGGTGTGCATTTGCTTGGGGAAAGAAACAGTCTCAGCCTGCTTGTCTGGTTTCTGATGGACCTGTAGCGCCTGTCTGAGGGCAACAGTTCAAAGAGGTGGTGGGCGGGGGGTAGTCATAAGAGCCTTCAAAACTCTGACAGGATTCAATTCCTAAACTAAAATGTTAAGTATAGGTGTGTCTCAGGATAGAAAATCATACAGTACAACCAGTAGAAATATTAAATTTCCACTCTTTTCACTTGTTCAAATACATATTCATCCACAATCCTTTTGCAAAGTCTGGTGTAGTTACTTACCTTGCAATGTAGGGCCTTGTTCTGATAAAACAAAACAAAATAGAAATCTCAGTTTTTGTCTAACATACAGATAACAGAGTGAAGATTGTGGGTGTACAGCTTTAATAAAAATGCTGAAATATTCTCCTGTGAATTCACAGGTTCCTGACAGATTCCTGGATGTTGCAGAGATTACACTAAGAGAATTTGTCATCGCCATTTCACTGGGAAAAGATTGTGATCCATCATGGAAGAAAGCAATCTACAAGGTGATCTGTAAACTGGACAGCGATGTACCAGCTGAGTTCAAACACCACCGCTCTGTTTGATTAAATGAAGACTTTGTGTGCCACAGTGCTTACAGTCGCAAAGTGGACTTAGTCATGCCTATAGTAGCAAAATACTGTGTTTTTGATGAAGAGTATAGTGTAGGTTACAACAGGCAAATGTAGCGCATGCCTGCATATTTCAAATAAATGGCTGAGTGAATCAAAAGCATTGTTTTTGTATGAGGTAGTTGGACATGACATGTTTTTGCTATATCAGGCACATAATATAGCAAAAAGACCATTTTCATTGTTGTGATGTCAAAAAACAAAGCGCACATCTTCCTTTTTGTGGAGCTGTCAAGCAGAAATAAGGTCCAGACACTGTTGGCCAAAACATGTTTAATATTCCTTTAAAGTATTGCCAGTCAAAGTGTGCACACAAATGCATAATTGAATTTACATCATAAAACATCTTGTAAACATTTACAAACTGGTATTAAATAGCAGTGTTTTCCCACCATACTTACTTTAAAGATCCATCCATATCTTTGTGGAAAAAAACACTCCTGGCCTTCTGTCCAACGGAAATGGTCCATATGGTCTTCAGCTGTCATCCTCTGTCCTCCGGTTAGAGCTGATGAGCTTTCTTCTGTCTTCAGTATCGGTAATGCAGATCTTCAGTGTGAAGATTCAGACCCTTTGCTTCACAGGTGGAAAGTTTGGAAATGTAAAATAAATTTTAAAAAGTGACCAAAAATGTTCAGACTTTTGTCTGTTTTAAATAATAATCAACAGATATATTGATTCCATTTTATTGAAATCCTTATTTTTATGTGTAAAGCTGTGTCAGAGTATTTATATTTTAGCTTAAAATTTTAATACTCCATAAATTATATAGATCAAAATGTTGTGAATTAACAGGGAATATTTCATAACTTTTGAGTATTTCAGTGAAAAAGGTAATCCAATTTATGCATAACACTTATTCACTTTGCTTACTCACTTTAAAATCCCTGAATTTGTGTGTCTTTTTATTTATTTATTTGTTTTTAACCAATTTCATCACTGAATTCACTTTAATTTCAGAGAGGTTTAAATATTTTAGTAAAATATTTAAACTGCAAAGTTTAAAATCACATATCTAATGTCTTTTTTTAGAATTTATCACAATTCTGCAAGGTAAACAAAATGATTCATTAAGTGTGCAGGTCAATAATGGAAACTTCAGATTTTGCATTATTTTACATACAAAGAACCAGTAAAATTTTAAAGATTTTATAAGGAAATTTGATATGAGGAATCTTATAAGATCGTTTATCAGAAAATCCTTAATTTAAAAAATTAAACTAATTCTACGCTGTGTAATTTATAACAGAGAACTCTAAAAGTCGTCTGTAGTGTAGTCGTCTGAAAATAGAGTGAAGACAAGCAAATTTCACTGGTAAGATAGCAGTTTAGACCCAATTGGATGTAAACTTTTGTTTGAGCATGCGCTAACAGACATCTCACTGTGCCCTTGTGCAACTCCGTTCAAATATCCTGACAGGATCTCAGCTGTGCAAGTTAAAAATTCACTCTTAAAAGCTATTTGCTGTTAGCTTGTAAAAAAAGTTTTGCTGCTAAAATCACCTCAACAGCTGAGGTCTGAGCAAAAATCCAACTTCAATCTGTGCATGCACTTCTTAAGGTCAAAGTGCACATGCTCACAGAGCCCTGTGCAGTGTCTGCAGCAAGGTTCTCTTGCATTATTATTGACAGTTATTCCCCTGCTAACTGGTACCTATTATCCAGGGTTGTTTGGTTTAGGTAACAGTAAGAGTTTCAATCTGCTTTGGTTTCGAGATTCCTCACACATTCACAAACCAATCAATATCAGTTTTTCGCTCTTTTTTCATGCAGCAAAAAAGTTGCATAAATGAACAGTGCGTCACAGCCACCGACAAAAGAAGCAAATGTGCAACCATTAACTATTTTGCAAAAATGAGTGCAGCTGGATTTCACCTTAAGTGTACGGGGGAAATTCTTTGTGTGTGTCTGAAGCAGATTACTGCATCATATAAATATTATTTATTTTTTTGGTAATTCATTTAAGAGGAACAAAACTCCAGAGTTTTTCTGAACATTCAACTTATAAAGTGCTTACACACACAAACATTCTTGAGGTGACCCCCGACATCTGACAGAGAAACTAACAACTGTGGTTTTTAGGCTAACTCCTTTACCCAAACCAAAAACACCCTAAATGTAATATCAACAAGAATGCTCAGTAGCCTAATGTTAACACTGCTTCCACGAACCACAGTAGTGAGTGATGTCACGGCAGTCATATGGTTGCAAGTTGTATAACATGGCTACCATGTCAGCTGTGTATTTAGCCAAGTAAGGGCATCTAACATAGAACTTCAAGATCCTTTAAGTAACTTGAAGTTTGTGTCAGCTTTGGTGCCCCCTGTGGACAAAGCAGCCCTTGCACTGATTTCCACACTCTATAGTCGTGATTTCTAGTAAAATGAATAAATAAATAGAAATCCAGCTAACTTTTGACAATCAAATGTGTTATTTGTCTTGAATATTTTATGTGGAAGCTGTAAAAACCAGGCCATCTTCTGCCGCTTGGCTAACACCTTGGCTGCACTGGTTTCAGGCAGTGAAAATAAACATAATTATCATTCGTGTTAGTCATGCTCTTGTTTGCTTTTGGATATCATGAAAAGGCATCAATATAGACTTAAGTCCATTTCACAGATACCAAAAAACTCCTGATTGTAGCTTTAAGAAAAGTTGAGAATAAAAAAGTTGCACAAACACCATTATGACAAAACTGCAAAACACAGGAAACTGTTGAATGATTTCTAAAGCTAAAAGGACATTTTGAATGTATAAAATAACACTCCACATAGTTTCATCATAATATGTACTCTTCTGACCAGCCCACATAAAGTAATAAACCTAATCACAAGCATTCTTAAAAATCTGTCACAGCAGATTCACATTTAATGTCAGAGGCAAGTAAACAACTACAATGCACACATTCATTTTGGAGGGTATTGTCAAAATCGCATTTTCAATGAAACCATACGGTAAACCAAGAAACACTCCCCAAATTTGATTATTTGAAGAACTTTATTGTCTTTTTTCTTCATGTATGTACAGACCAAGAAACAGTAACGCAGGTATACAGTACAGGAAAGATGGGAAATACAAAACAGAAAAAAAAAAAAAAAAAAAAAAAACATGACAAAAGAATTATAAACTACTAATTTGTTGTAGAACATCACTGGTGCCTGTTTAAAATACTAAAGAAAAGGACATCACTGTAATTTTCTCCTTGAAAAAATCTAAAAATTTGATGGTAATAGTTAAGGTCACCTTGATGAGAACTATAGGACGAGCCTTTTATTTCACCACGAGTAGAATAAAGCGTTTTCACACTCATAACACCTGTAGAGAGAAAAAGAAATCACTGATCAGTAAGCCACGGAAGTTTGTTTTTCAAATTCTACTCTTAACTGTGCAGGTTGGGGAAACACATTTTTCACATTCTGGTAATGACAATTTTAGCAAAATAAAGTACTGTTATTACACTGACACATACACAGTATATTGTCATGAAATGAGCCATAGAGTCTAAAGGGGGTGCCGGACATATGTTTCAAAAAAACAACTGATAACTGATGAGGATGTGTCTCAAGAATGATTCTATAAAATATCCTATTGAAATATCACTGGAAAAAGTACAAAATTGTAATCTTTAAAAAGTTTTTTTTTTTTTAATCATTTAAAATTATCGTTTTTATTTTCATAGGTTTAGTACTTTTTAAAGAAACTTTTACGAGCGATCAGTAAAAGGAATAGCCTTCCTAACAATATTATAAAAAAATTAAAAAACACTTACCCTTCAATGATGGGGAAAAAAAAGGGCATTCGATTATCTTCTTAGAAATACTTGGTTCGGTTGAGAGCTCTTTGTGCTAGCTGGCCGCTCTCATCAGTTATTCTCTCCCAGTCTGTCTGACCCACTACAAAGCCAATAGCGCGCTTTCGATCAGCATCTTTCTGCTCCTCCAAATCAGCCCACCGAACCTTAGAACAGAAAGGAAGCAAGCATGCATGGCGTTACGACGAGGAAGCTGATAAGTGAGCATCATGTAAAGACTTCCCTCTATGAACTATAAAGAAAGGTGTATTTTAAGACTGAAACAAACCTGGAGTGCCTGATTTTACCTTCATTTTTTCATGCTACCCTGGTGGCAAACAAACACATTTAGAGAAGAGAAGCCTCGTGGCAAAGTTTAGTTATTTACCCTTTTCTTTCCTGGTTCTGACATACGTGTGGCGTAGTCATCTGGAAGCTGGAGGAAGTGATCTATGCCTGCCATGTCCTCGCGTTTCCGCTTCCCGCTACTCCCAAGACCATCCAACTTATCTGTATAAAACAAAAATCCCTCTCCAGGTCAGTCCTTAAAAAACAAAAAAGCTTAACCTTAATATCCTCAAAAGTAATTTTTTCAAATATAATCATTTTTAGCCTCATGCTAAGGATTTTTTAGGTGCTTTCAGTTCTAGATGAAGCAATGTTTACTTTACAATGGTTTTCAAATTAAGTATGTTGGTACTCAAAACCTCTCAATCCTAGCTCATTATGTGGCGAAAAACTGTCACAAATAATGGCAACATTATTTTAAAATTTACTTTGAAATTCATCAAGACAATGCAGGTCAAACAAGCGTTAGCTTAACTGTTTAAAGACCCACTCCGATGAAAATCACGTTTTTCTTGTTTTTTTACATGTTTGTATGGCATTTTCTCTAATGCTACAGGACATCTCATGAGAAAACCTCATGCGAAATTGTATTTTTGAGCATTTCTGCATTCCCAATGCTGTGAATCTCTGACAGACCCAAATGGCAGCTTCAGACAGTGAGATTTCCTATGTCACAAATCCAAGCTCCGCCCCCCCCCGGAGCCCCACTATGCAGGCCAGACTCGGAGAAATAAAGAGGACAATCGCAGAACAAGCATGTGCGTTAGCGGATTGCAATGCTCGCAAGAAAGCTAATTATGATACTAGCTTTCATCATGTCCCAAAAGACATTATTGTCAGAGAGCTGAATAGCTCCTATGTTACCTGCCACTTCTACCACACTGGCAATGTTAGGCTGCAAGCTAGTGTGAAGAGGAGTGTGCAGAGCAGCACTGTCTCCACCCGAGGCTTAGAGGTTAATTGCTAATGATCTACTGGAGCTCTGCAGAAGAAAAGGCCTTAATAATGATTTGGCTAAAAGCTTATTATCACAGTTTAAAGACCACTGATGACGTTTTAAGTAGTAAAAAAAAAAGATCACAGTGGGACACATACAAAGAGTACAAAGAGTGGGCACCTTAATATGAGCCCTTTCACAGGCAGTATGACTTTACATTTTGCATAAGGCTTTGATTTGCGGTGTGTGAGGACAAGAGAGCCCTTCAGTGGATGGTATTTTTGCAATTTTTTTTATTTGAACAAAACGGGGATCTTGATATTGTTTTCAGGACTTGTGACCAATTATAAAAGCTTACATTAAAACTGTTACCTACCACATTTCCCTCCCAACACAACACAGCATACATAATTTACACACAATTAGATAACATACTCAGCCACAAGACATAATTAATATGTCATACATAAATATTACCAATCACTTAGAAGTTGAAATGCACGCAAAAGTTAAAGAAACTTCTATGTTGCAAAGAAAGATTAGGTAGTCATGAAATAGAAACCAAAAATTAAAATACCTACCAAGTTTTGCCTCAGACGTGTCCATCTCCCATTTGCTTTTTGGAATGTAGCCCTAAATTGTGGAAAGAAACACTGCAACCGTTACACATACAGGGATAAGAAGGGCAAAGGGACGCAGGGTTGGCTGAAAGAGAGCAGACTGGTGTATAAGAAGTTAAAAGAGAACAACAAAGACAACTGAGAGGTGAGACAGCAAAAAACTATTAGACCTTGCAAACTGAGACTTTAAAGTTTGGGTTAAAACTTTGATCTTGTCCTCATGCAAAAGAAAAAAGCAGTGGATAACAGCTGTGCACTGCTTCGGGGAACACGAGCAGGAGGTCAGTGTGTTTACATTTTAATATAAAAAGTCAAACCTCTTGACTAAGAGAAGTATCAACCCTCAAACAAAACCTCAGCTGGATCATCCCACTGAGGCTGCTGGCTTGACTGATAGCAAGCACTTTGCTAATGGTCCAATATGAGTTGTAGGAAGTTTGTAGTGACTTTCATGTTTTCTAAATATTAGGAGGTACAAAGCCATTCACACAATAATATGTATTAAAGAAGCTTATATTTTCAAATATGAAAGATTATCAGATGTGCAGCGTGATTTGCTAAAATGGAGTTATTTATCTCAGAAATCTGCATCCTTAGATGACTAGTGCACAATTTTCAAAGTAAGAGCATCTTTTAAACCAAGAATAGGTGATGTTAAAATATGGAAACAAGTGTTTCACTGTTTACCTTAGACAAACTTTCATAAACATGGTCATTCAGTCTTTAGTATGACTGTCCCTTCATTTAAGACATATTAATATTTTTGTGTATTTGTCATAAAATTTTCTTTGGTATTATTGTTCCTACTACCCGTTTTTTTCTCATGAGTCTATCTTATTTGAGTCTTTTAGTTTTCAGCGCAAACATTTAGTTATTGCATTTTTTGTACTTTGTTCTAGTACTTTTTTGGTTGTTTTAATTTGTTATTGGTTATGCTTCTGGACATTTTCGCCTGTACTGATATGACAGGTAAAGAAACACAGTTCAGTGTGGCTAGTAGAGAGTGGCAGAAGAAGACATGCAGCAAAAGGTTGTGGCTGAAAATAGATCCAGTGACTGCTGTGATGAGCCCTACAGCCACTGTACATGAGGTGCAAGCTTAAATTGTTTGGACAACCTGGGTCTTAAGTCTTTGGTTTCCCTTTTTTGTTTAATATACTCCACATTTGACAATGTATATATTTATATTACTTTCCATTCTTTGACAATTTCATGCAAAACTCTGACACAGGTGACTTCTTGTATTCTTGCTAATTATTCCTCAGGTGTGAGATAAGACCAACGGATAGTACGTGCTCATTTCATCTTGACAGGACAGCTTGAAAGATGTCGTGAATTGACTGACTTGTGTAGGTGGGTGTTGTGGAAAACCTCTTTCATTCTTTAGGTCGGGGGTGGGCAATCATGTGCTGTGGAAGGCCGAGAGGCTGCAGGTTTTATTTCCAACCCAAAACTCCACCAGGTGATTTCACTAATTAGTCCCTGCTCTCTGCTTGGAGGTCAGGATATCAGTGAAATCACCTGGGGGAGTTTTGGGTTGGAAAGAAAACCTGCAGCCTCTCGGCCCTCCATGAGGCACGTGATTGCCCACCCCTGTTTTAGGTGCTTCTTTAAACCTTGTCGAATTCTTTGCATTTGATCATAAATGTTCTTTGTCTGTAGTTAACACTGGTTGAAGCTCAAAACTCATTACAATTTCATATCATCTGATAATACAAAGGGTACTAAGGAACAGTTGTAAACTTCTTTGCAATGACAATGTAGCCAGTAGTTAGCGCCAGGAATGACTTCCTGACAGTCCTTCGCCATGTGGCCTTTGTGCTGCAGACATTAGTCATGTTTTGGTTATCATGTTGCCCAAAGAACTACCCATTCTATCTGCCTCTGATGAGAGTAAATTACACTGAGGCTTCCCTCTGGCATTCATCAGAGATATGAAACCAAACAGTGTTTTTGTTGACCAAAGTACAAATATACTGATTCTGATTTGTAAAAAAAACAACAGTGCGAATTTTGTTGAGTAGTAGGAGTAAAATCTCAAAGTGCGTTTTTTGATTAGAGGTCAGACCAATCACTTCTGATGCATTCCAAGAAATATGAACATCAAAACTGACTGTGCTGGGCTGACTTCTAGCTCAAGTTATACAGAATTGACTATGAACTACACGTCACAGCAGGTATCTGTTGAAAGAGAGAATTAGTTTGCTGTTACGTCATCACAAATGTAAATCATTACTTAGGCTGTGTTTGAGGGCTGTTCCAACCATGGAAAAGAAGCAATGAGGATCATTACTGATATTGATATTGATCATCATTAGTGATATTGGAATTGTGATTATTTATCACAATTACTCATGATTTGGCATCTGCACCCCATTGACTAAAGCAATCACTCAAAACTTCAACATTCTGAAAATTAAAGAATGAAAAAATAAAATAAAACGAAATACCATTAAAAAAAACAAAAAACTTTTTTTTGTCTTTTTTTGTTTACTAACCCTTTTTTAAATTGTTTTTTTAATTTTTACTGTACAGCACTTAGGTCAGTGTTTTGTTGTTTTAAATAAATGTGCTTTATAAATAAACTTGGATTGCATTGGATTAGAACCCTTACCTGTTTAACTGAATTAATACAGTAGTAAATCCTATAATGTCAGAGTTTCTAATGTAAAGCACAAAACACAGTTCAGGAAAGCTAATAAATATCTGCTGATATTAAGATGGCTTTAATAGAATTATAGGACTGTTTGAAAAGGCTAGATAATTTGTCATAAAATGACTAAAAAATATATGTATGCCTTACATCCTAATGAAACATTATATTTGAGATCTAATGTTCGTGTCTGATTTCTGCACCTCTCTTGTTGTAAATATTGTTTGACTTCATCAAAGAAATCAATTTACAATTCAAGAAAATTTTGCAGCAAAAAGGAATATTTTTTTTTAAATCAAATCTAAAATAGCTCATTACCATCATGTTGCAGTTATAAAATTTTAATTTTTTTTCAGTTCTTTTGTCACTTAAAAAAATCACTATTTACACTTTTTGGTAAATGTATTCAAATGCAGTTACTTCATGTCCAATTATGTACAGTATGTTCAATGTTTTATTTCAAGACAGAATGACACTTTGATATCTGAGGCTCAAGCACAGCTGCTGGGGAGGAAAACGATGAATCAGACACTGTGGCCAAGTCTGTTTCAACTACGCGAGGTGGCCTTGGAGCTACCTCGCTCAACTTAGCGCGGTAGCCAGTGGTCTCGCTAAACGGTCTTACGACGCTGGTTATCAACCTCGTAAGTGGATCCAGCTTTGCTATGAGCGCGTGCACGCATGTAAGGCGGAGCCCGCCGCATCTGACCAATCGCGAACATGGACCAGTCTGGAGCATCAGAGCAGGCCAGAGAGCGAAAGACTGCGTACTTTACAAACGAGGAGTAGAAGACGATCATGAGAAAGTATGAAGAATTCAAATCTTTCATAAACCTCAAAAGCAACACTGTAGCTGCTGCAAAAGCACGGAAGAATTGCTGGCAGAAAATTGCCGACAGTGCGTAAATATAGTGCGCAAAAAATCCTTGATGCCATTATCACCCTGAAATAAGACTGTTTAGCATGTGTTTTTAACATGCACCAGACATGTCTAATTCATTTCCAAGATGAATTCATTCATTTGTTCATTCCTATTGTGTTTACATTTTTGTGTGATATGTCGGCCATATGAGCCTTTCATAAAGGTGGTCATCCAGAAAAGTAAGTGGGTCTGTGCAGTCCCTGAAAACTCTTGCACGCCATAGTGCTCCTCGGACAATGCGAGCACCGAGGTCTAAAGGATCCTCCAAGAACGGACAAGCCATTTTTCGAGAGAGCTCAATGGTCAGTGGGCGGGGTTTTTATACTCGGTGAGTTCAATCTGGAACCTAACCTGCCCCGGAGCAGGTTAGCCGTTCAGCATATGTTGCCATGAAGACTCACCTCGCTAAGAAGTGAACCTGCGTCGTAGAACAGGAAACTCCGAACTTACCCCCGAAGTTACCTCGCTAAGCAGTAATCCTGCTTCGTAGAACAGGCCCCAGGGTCCTCATTTATCAACCGTGCATACGCACAGATGTATGCTTAGTGAGTGCGTACGAACATTCCCGCGCAAAGTATGGAATTCATCAACCTGTACTTGTGCTTAGGAACGTGCCTACATTTAAGCACAACAGCCATGCGTACACACAAAATCTAGTGGTAGAACAGTGAAACTACAAATAGAACCAAATAAAGGAGTCAATCGCAAACTTAACACATGTTCCCCGTTGCCTCTGTATAAAATTCAACGGATTAGTTATTTAGCAGACATTTTTAGTGATTGGTGTGACAAGCAATAAAAATCAGCTGTGACAGGACAACTTCAAGGAAGTCTTTCAAGTGCTGATACAAGAATCACGGCTTATATTGCGCTATTGGAGGACTTGGAGAACCGTATGCTCCGCAGGGAGCGCGTTTTTAAAGACCGTGATGATCTGTTCAGTGAGAACCATAGACTGTATATAAGATGGACAACCTGGTTCCGCCTTCCGCCTGTATACGGATTTGAAGCCGAAAAGCTCTCGGTAATTCTGGATTTTTCTCCACTTCCTTGAAACCAGAGCTGCTCAGTACCGATGCGCGCATTCTGCCGCGCAGTCGCCGAGAGTCCCTGTGATGACGCTCGGCTCATACAGTGTATCCCCCAGGTGAGCTACGCAATCCCTGAACGCCCATAGGCTGTATCAAGTGTCAATCATAGAAAACATGAACCCCCAAATAACTTTTCAAAACGGAGCTGTACAGAAAAAAGAGGACTTGAGCACAAACCAGTCTTACAATAACTACATGTCAACATCACAAGCAGGGGGGAGAAAAATTTATGTTATGTGTAATAAATTTCTAAAGTTGGTCCACAGTCCCATAAGCTTTGCTGGTGAAGGTGGGATTTATGACCTGTACTGCAGCCCACCATCAGAGGCTGCTGTTCTCGGAGTGGCTTCACCCAGCGAGGAGGCAGACTCTGTCCATCTTATATACAGTCTATGGTGAGAACACAGAGTGGCTTCTCAGCAGGTACCGCTTCCCCAAAATATTTTAATGGGTTTACGCCGTTTACGCACCAAAGTCATCCCAGTGCACATCCAGATCCTGTCCACCCTGGGATTTTTGGCCACCGGAACATTTCAGCGTGAGATTGGAGTCATATACGACATTTTGCAGACAACGCTAAGCAGAATCATGCCAGTAGAGTTGAATGCAATAATTTTTCTGGCCTCAATTTACATCCAGTTCCCAAACACACCTCACCAACAAGCCGGAATAAAACGAGGATTTCACGCCATCGCCGGATTCTCGAACATAATTGGCGCCATAGATTGCACCCACATCGCAATATAAGCCCCTTCACACAGTAAATTCAGTTTTGTCAACAGGAAAAGATTTCATTCAATCAATGCACAAATAATCTGAGATGCACATTTGTTTCTGTTAAACGTTGTTGCCCGGTGAACTGGAGGAACGCACGACTCATTCATTCTACAGAACAGCTCTGTGAATGTGCACCTCCATGATTTCAACGAGGCGGAAAAAATTCATTCACGCATTTTTAAAGGGATTGTTGATACCATATATGGTCAGTTGGAGGCGTTTCTGAATGCAAATGACCCTAACCATGCATGAGCACGGTAGTAAAGAACAGGTGGGATTTATCATCACCGATTACTTGCGTGTGTGCGTATGACCGGTGTCCGCATGTTTGATAAATGCAGATTTTTTGTACTTATGCACATTCGAAATTTCATTCCCACATCAGAATTTAGAACCTTTTCTACGCACGTTTGATAATTAAGGCCCCTGGACCTCGGCATTGAGCTAAATGCCAAGTATGGATTTACAACCTTGTGTCTCAAGAGGAGTTAAAAATCCATTTATTCAATTAAACTCAAGCTTTTTAAGTTCATTGAACTAGCATATAAATAAATATCTGATTTAAATATGTTTCACTACACATACTGCTTCATATTAGAAATTTTAAGTAAGATGATAACCAATAATAACCTAGATAATAACCAGCACCCTTTAATGGGTGGTCCTATAAATCTCCTAAGAAGTACCAACTAGAAATAACATAAACAAAGTGTTCCTACATGGTTGACATTTTTTAAATCCCATACTTTTCCATGCCTTAATTTTCAGACTTTTTTTTTCTTCATCTGAGTAAATATATCAGTGAATCATTATTCACATCATATTTATCCATACATCCATCCTCTCGCCTCTCCGGACTCAGGTCACGGGGGCAGCAGCCTAAGCAGGGACCCGAGACGTTCCCACGCCAGCTGAGAGACATAGTCTTTCCAGCATGTCATGGGTCTCCCCCGTGGTCCCTTACCAATGGGACATGCTCTGAACATCTTACCAGCGAGGTGTCTGAGAGGCATCCTGCTTAAATGCCCAAACAACCTCATTTCACTCCTCTCAACGTGGAGGAGCAGCAGCTCTACCCTGAGCCTCTCCTGGATGACTGAGCCTTTCACGCTGTCTCTAAGAGAGGGCCCAGCCACCCTGTGGAGGAAACTCAAAAAGCATCACTACTCCTGCCCGATCCTCTCACCAGCTGCAACTTCAGAGTGGAAAAGAGCCCAACCTCTCTCACGAGGACTGGTCCCCACTGGGTCACCCAAGGTACTGAGCTCCCAGGATCATTGGGACACAGGAACCCCTTCATCATGATAAGGTGGTAGCTCATATTTTATTATTCTTGATTAACCACTTGTTAATCAGGTCAAAGGAGCAGTATGTTTCCTGAGACGTTTGCTATCAAACAAGCTATGCCTGGATCTGGATTAATCAAATTATTTTTGGAAGTACCTACTTTTCTATTTTTGAAAACTGTATATAAGAACAGTAGTCACAGTCTGGAAACAAAAATGTTTTTCCATCCTTCATTTATCATACTTTTGAAGCAGTTAAGATAAAAACAAAGACATACAAGTGTCTGACAGTGAGTACAAAGATTGACTTGAAATTAGTCTCAGAACTCTACAATTGTCCTGAAAGGTAAAATTCTTGTAATGATTCTCTGTAGGTTCATCAAAATAAGGGACCTCTTTGTGACGGTGTTTCCGAATTTCATTGTCAGTTGCTTGACAAAAATGAAAATAGTAAAGCCATTTCAACAGGAGGAAAAGTTTTGTGGTTGTAACCAGCCCAGCCCTTAAAGTTTTGAAAATTTTTGAGGAAATGGGTAAATATTTTAGCTATCTTGTTAATATGGCCATCTCTGTTTTGAACTTAACTTGGTTCATCAGAACAGTGATGATAATAATAATAATTTTATCTGTATTGCAATTTTAAAAACAGGTTTAAAAAGTGCTTTGAATTAAAGATGCTTAACAGTTGTTCATCATCTTTGGAAGTGATTATCAATTCAGCTTTGAAAGGATGTTGATGGTGGCCTTAAGGGGCAACTGCAAAATATTTGATGACTGCAAAGAAAATATTTCAAAATCTGCAGAAAAACAAATCAAGAGCAACTTATTTTCTAATATGCTGCAAAAAAAAAAAGAAAAATCAAAGTCACTGTTTATTTTGTTTTTGTGCTGCAAATAAAAAAAAACACTCTAGTTGCTGCATAATTTTTATGTGCTGCACAAAACATTTTTGCTGCTGCATATTTTTCTACCTGGTAGGTGAGGGTAGGACTTATACAATTTGTTTGTTATTGGCTCAACATGTTCAGCAACAGTCTTGTATCATTTCTTTTTCACCTTAATAACAGGAACTCTTCTTTGTTGGTGAACTGTATCAAAGATAAAAGAGGATTTAAGCTCACAAGAGCGTATTTTAACTAGGGCTGTACAGTCCTAGTCAACTGGTCCACTTATTGGTTGATGCGTGCTTAGTTGACCATAATTCTGATTGGTCAACTCAATTTTTTTCCACATCGATTTATAGTCTATGGTTAATTTCATCAGGAGGAATGTACCAAGTGCTAATGGGGGGGTTTTCAGAGCACCCTGTTTCACAGGTATAATTCTGCCTGAGAACATTATGCTTGTTTTCACCATTTTGGATTCGCCCAACCCACTGGAGACCGGCTGGAGACACGAAGATTGAAGAGTGTCGACGTTAATCAATCAACATAATATTTGTGTTTAATTGCCTTCTTGTGCTGATATCAGTATATTTTCATCTTGCCGAGCCGCGCGCGTCGTCCCCCAGGCCTAATTTTAAGAATGGACATACTCTGTTATTATTGATTTGCTATCAACACACCGTGACATAAAAATGTCCATTAGAAAATTTTAGTCATGCTTAAAAGAGCTCAGACTAAGGAGGTAGGGTGGCCTTTCATCAGCATTAGAAGGGCATTAATATCGGAACTGCGAGGACCTGGACGGATGTTTGGATACTGAACCATGTTGGTTCTCCTTGAAGTTTTAAAAGAGACAGTCATGGGAAGACTCCAGGAACTGAACCCACATGCGGCATTCTTGACACTACTACTACTACTAACACATCAAATAAAGACAACATTTTGCTGTTTCTATTCTGCTGAGTGAAATTTGGTCACCATTAGTCTTGTACATAAGTGACAGACACTACATAAAAACACAAACTACAAATAAGAGACAAACCTATGATTTAAAATTCAATATTATTTCAGTTTTATCTGTTTATGACTCTCAAACGCAAAAAAAACACAATATGACTGATACTATCATAGTAAATGCATCAGGTGAAGTGTAATGGGAATAAAGATAAGTGGAATGACTCTGAAAGCTACGTGGCAAAAAATTTTAAATTTCATGTCCTACCAGATCACCCTCTTCTTCTTCCTCTTTTTTGGGTTCCTTGAGCTCGTCATCAGGATTGAAGTCTTCCATTTCAACCTGTTAGCACAGGTAAAAGTTCAGTGAGGTCAGTCAGTGATTAAAGACTACAATAGCACAGACATCCTTATGTCGTTAAGACCTTACCTCCTCTATAGCAGCATCCTGAAGCAGGGACCGGACATCTAATCGCACCATGTGGCGTGGTGAAGGCTCCCAGTTATTGGACATCTGTGAATATAGTACGACATTAAGACTTGTATACTTATCAGTATTACTTTAGTGCTGACTGAGAGAGCTAGCTCGATGGAACAGACCTTCATTATCTCTTTTAGACTGCGACCATGGACATTTCTCTTTGAACAGGTCTGAGTGTCTGCAGTGATTTCAGCCAGGTACACCTTCAAATCAGAAAATCTCTTTAGCTTCGTGTCAAAGGGTCAAACTCTATTTCAGACTTGTTTATGAAAACAACTCACCTCAAATCCTTTGGTTTTGGCAGCGCTCCAGAACTGATCAAAATGTTTAACCCTGTCATTAATCGTGTCCAAGATAATGAAGGGGAAAAAGCCATCGTCCAGCGTTTTCTTAAATGTTTTAAGCATGCTGCTTCGGTAGGTGTCCTCCATCTCTGGTTCATACTCATACTCCAAGACCTGAAAGACGATTTTGTTTGTCTTACACATCAGCTACATTTCATGATGCTCTGTAACACTGACAGTGCTAATCTGTACACACTCACTTTGTTTTTGACCCTCTTCCCAGTGTCGGGGTCTTTTTGAACTTTTTCAACCTCTGTCATGAAATAGTCATCCAGGACTAGAACTCTTGGAGGTGCACCGCCACAGTCAACTTCCTTGTCCTAAATAATGTCGAGAGGATTGAAAGACAATTAGGTGTTTCTATTTGCTTTGATAAACAAAGGATACTGTAAAACATGAACAGGTTCTAGAGTAATGTTGATTTATGTCATTCAGGTTTAGCTGGGTTGTATTGTATGACTAGTACATTATGACTTGCTAGTACAACTCCACTCACCCGTATGAGCTTTGCGACGTGGCTTTTTCCACTTCCTGGGAGCCCTCTCATGATGATAACAATCTGTCGACATGATCCACAGTATAACTACTCACAACTACATGACTGGCAATAATTTTTTGACATGAAAAAAACACTTTTTATAAATTGTGTACCCTCTCGGGCCGTGACGATCTCCCCGGCGGTTTGAGTATGTCGTCAATATTCTTGATTTCTGGCTTCTTCTCGACTCGAGGGGGGGGCTGAGGTGGAGGTGGGAGGGGAGGTGCAGCAGGAGGTCCTCGTTCTTCTGGATAACTTCTTCTATCCACTGTATGATATTTAAAATTCAAGTATTTTGCTAGATAGTACGGAGCCTGGGAGGTGACATTACCTTTTTTTTTTTTTTTTTTTTTTACACGTGCGTTATTATACCGTAGGTGTGATTTAACTATTCATTTATTAACGAAATCACGTCCTGCAAGTCCAAATAGCGCAGATGGCAGAGTTGCTGTGCTTTAAGGATCCTGATGATGTGTCTCATACCAAATGTGGCTAAGCTATAAAGTATCTCTTTGTGAGTCATACTTAAATGAATGAAAATATTGATAATACGCTCTCTGTCCATGACACTGCACTTCTTCTCTCACAAATGAGGCGGGTGGAGGATTACAGAAACACACGTGCAATTTAGAAATAAAACCCACGTACAAGATGCTAAATCATACGTGCAAATTTAAAAGAAAAAAGTTCATGTCATCTCCTGGGCTCCGGAAAGATAGTTTTCCTTTTTTAGATTATAAATCTACTCCTGTGGTTAGAGATTTATTTTGAACTACCTCTCATCTGATGCAGAAACAGACATTTGGAATTATGTACTGGGAAAAATCAACACACAAAAAAACAGTTGAAGCATTACGAGGCTGACTCCTACCATAAGGTGAGGGGCTGTGGCTGTGGCTGTAACGCTCAGGCCCACTGTCAAGTCCACTCCGCTCGTATGGAGTTCTTTCATAGCCAGACCTTCCATAGTGGTCTTCTCGATCTCGGCTGTCACTTCGGTCCCTTTCTCTAATGTCTCGCTCTCTGTCTCTGTATCCTGAACGCCCCAGTGAAGATCTGCACAGGGAAGAGGCATTGATGGATTTTAGTATAACAGCTTATTACCTGGTTTCACACTGTCACACACTGATGACTAATCACAATGCACGGCACAGTGTGTTCAAGTACCTTTCATCAACCATCGACTGTGTGCTTGAAGCGAAAACACACAAATAGAAAAAAAAATTACACGTCCATGGAAGCAGTACATTTCCCAAAAAATAGGGAAAAGCTCAGGGCACGTGTAACTTACCTTTCATCTCGCTCTCTCAGGGGATAGCGCTCCCTCTCATATCTGTCTCTCTCGTATTCAGGTGGAAGCTTTTCCCTGTATAATTCCCTCTCTCTGCTGTAATCCCGACGTTCCAAGTAAGGGTCTGATCGTCTGTCATAGTACGGATCTCTGCTGTAAGGATCTCGGAGACCAAGAGGCTCTGAGAGAATTTAGAAGGTTTGTCAGTGAATGACTATTCTACAGCAGAAAAAGCTTAATGTGCTTCAGGTGAGACATGTGGTCTTTTCAAAGCTGAGACCCACCTTTTTCATAACCCCTGTCTGATGGCAGTGGGTCAGGCCTCAGTATAATTCTCTCACCATAGGAGATGCGTTCAACAGTGGCTCCAGGCTCTGAAACAGCGAGTTAACATCACCAAGAAAGGCTTGACAACGAAGCCTGTGTTTAACATTAAACCGAGCATATTTGTCAATCGAACTACTCATACCGTGACCATGCCCGTAATCCACAGTCTTTGGAATCACTTGATGTGTGGATGCAGCAGGAAGAGACGACTGGTAATTTGTGACTGGAGGCTTGGTATCCCATGATGCAGGTTCAGCTCCTACTGTTTGTGCAGCTGCAGTCATGCCCTACAGAAGACAGATAAAAATCCAATAATCAATCAAAAACTGTCAAAGAGAACATATGCAAATCTAATAGTCAAAAAAACAACTATTTCTTTAGTTGTTCTTATTTCCATTTCTGAAGCAACATGCACCACGTTGTGGAAATGATATTCTTGATAACCTTTTCATTATTCCAACACAGATTTTTACTGACAGGGTTTAAACCATAGACTGTATATACTATGGACAACTTGGCTCCGCCTTCAGTCATCATACAAATTTGAAGCTGAAAAGCTCTTGGTGTTTCTGGGATTTTCTCCACTTCCTGGAACCACTACTTGCACAGTAGCGTTGTACACATTCAGCGGGAGAGTCACTGTGATGACACTCGGTCAAACAGCAATCTTCGTATGCTCATAGGCTGTATCAAGTGTCAATCATAGAAAACATGAACCCCCTAATAACTTTCAAAAATGGAGCTGCACAGAAAAAAGAGGACTTGAGCACAAACCAGTCTGACAGTAACTATATTGCAAGCTGGGGGTTGAAAATTTGATATTCTGTGTAATACATTTCTAAAGTTTGTCCACAGCTCCATAGGGATTGCTGGAGGAGGTGGGATTTATGACCTATACTGCAGCCCGTCACTAGAGGGTGCTGTTCTCGGAGTGGCTTCACCCAGCTAGGAGGCAGACGGCGTCCATTCTATATATTGTCTATGGTTGAAACGTGTAGCATATGTAGAAATATAGCACATCACCTTTAGAACATTCCTGACATCTGCTGGGATCTCCAAACCAAGAAGACCAGCAGGAAGCTCAGGCAGGACATCAGCTGATGCAGGCTGAGGTTGTTCAGTACTCGCTGTCTTCCCCTCCTGTAATTCTCTGTAGACCCAAAACGATTTAAGTTCACCAAAAACTCAAAAACAGAAAGTTGGCCACAAAAGGGGTGATATATGAGCAAAAAAGGGAAAGAAAAATGCAGAAGTGCAAATTTATGAACTTTCTTGGGTGTCAATTTGGATTAAAAATCCAAGAATCACTCAGACTACAGAGTACATGTTTTAAAGTGTAGATGAACATCTTTAAGTGCAGTGCAAAGCATTGGTAGGTCTGAAGTTCAGATGTTCAGACTCTGAACATCTCATTTCTCTTTTCAATGGTACTGTAATGCAAGCCACTTAAAAAAAAAGATCATTCATTTGGATACAGTCAGGCTAATGCTTACTTAGCGCAGGATACATGTTAGCTGTGTGGTGCCTGCAGGGCGTGACAGCTCTGGCTTGCCTTGTTGTTGTGATTACATTAACTGCGTCTTTCTTACAATTGTTTTAAATTTGTATTTTTTTTCATACCTTAATGGGATATTCCGGCATAAATTTAAGTTATGGTCAAACACACCGTAACACCAAGATAGACACCCTCTAGAGAGATGGATATTGCCTACTGCTTGTTTATCTAGTTATACCATCTTCAGCAATGACCGCATGATAGCAATACACAGTGGTCTACGTCTCCACGTGCAAACCTCAACCAAAAAGCCACTCTATAGACACAAATAATGCTCAGAACAGCACCTAACTTCATCAACAGTACATATAGGGTCCCAGCCATAGTACTAGACATCAAACATCTTTTTAGCTTTGCCTGATTTCTTTAGTAAAGAGACCATAAGAAGCTAATGACTGCCAGGCTACAGAGTGAGAGACACCATTTAGAATCAAAATAAAAGACAAGTCTTGATTTTTTAAAAGGACATTATCTAAAAGCTTCAAAAGCCTGTTACTAAATGTAAGCGGTAAAAGAGCTTAAATCTTTCAGTTTTCTATTACACAGGGTAAATATAGTCGGTATAGTCATAGCTGTAGTAGAAGTATTAAATGTAACTTTTAAAACAGTTGATATTAACTAGTTAGACAGACAGACAGACATGCTTTGGGATACCAAAAAAGGTTGGCTTAAATTTTTTTTTCCTATTATCAATATCAATCATTATAACTGGGATCATGATTTTTGCCATAATCAAGCAGCACTAATCAGTTCAGTGTTTTCCAAGGAAAGAACGTGGTGAATTTATACTTTTTAACTACTATTATGGCACCACAACCAATGTGGTGTAAGTGCTGTATCAAAATCAGTCAAGTGTAGTAGAAAAGGTGTGGTAAATGGGGTGTGATGCAGTGCGTCTAAGGATTATTTTCATAAATAATGAGCTCACTCACATCTTGGTTCGAGCCCAGATCACTTAAAAAGCTTTACACATGTATTCTAGATGGGTATGATATTGTAAAGTCTTGTTTCTCAATAAAAAATACGCATTAAGTATTTTCCCAAATGCAGCAGGTACTGAAAGCTCCTATTACTGCATGTGGCTACAATTATCAATGACAGTCAAGGATTCTTTAGGATGTCAATACTGCCCTCGAGAAGAAGTAACGTTTGATATGCCCTGCCTTTAATAAGCATTGTCAGACTCATGTGAATGATGACATTTTCACGGTGCTTTCATGCCTTTTACTGTACTGGGTAGCTCAAACTCAGAAATTGAGTTTGAGTTTCAACTGAAATGACATTCATCACAAGATGTTGACTGTTCAAAACATTTCAAAATGGACCTTAATTAACACACAGACACCAGCTGAGCAAAGAGAGGGGCAGAGAGATGGATGCAAAGGACAGAGAGGAAATATTTCCTGCAATCTGATATATGATAATTGACATAGAGCAAACGTGTCATGTCATAATATGTAGTCAACACAACTTTGGAAACCAAAAATAAAGAAGTGTGCAAGCCATTTCTTCTACCAAATAACTTCAGCGTAAGAGCTATGACAGATTGGGCTTTTCCTTTGGAGAGCCTGCAGAAAGTACTAGGCTCGCCGCTCACTGTATCTTTTCTTCTCATAACATAGTTAGCAAAGCAAACACAGCCTTCAGCTTTTAGCTTTGTTTTATTTGTTAGCTTTACTTTGATTCATCTAGAGACTGGAGTTGTTTTGATACCAATACCTCTATGAGTATTTGGTATTGGCCAGTTAACAGCCAGTGCATTATTCAGATACTACAGAATACACAATCGGTTATTTTCAGTGTCTCCAACTTACCTTATAAGTTTCAGCTCTTGAGCAGCTTTCAAGATGATCTCATGTTGGCGTTGTGAGAGAGCTAATACATTGGTTCCTTGTGGTGCTGGATCAACTGAGCTCTCTGACAAGTTTGTTACAGGTGCAGCAGGAGGTACCACTTGAGGTCTATCCAAAGGAGATTCTCCCCTGCGCTCTTCATAGCGACTCACACGGTCTTCGTAGTCAGCAGGATACCCTCTCTCTGGTGGTGGAGGGAGTCTCGCAGATCTGTCCCATTCTGGCGGTGGGGGCGGTAGTGGCTCCGCCCTGTATTCTCGAATTCTAAGCTCTCCTCTTCCCCTGTCACGGTCATCGTAGGGAAATGGAGGACCTCTTTCCCTTTCTCTGTCTCTTTCCTCTGGCCAGTCTCTGTCTCTGTAGGGCTCTGGTGGTGGCTTGCGAGGGGGATAGTCTCTTTCAACATGAATACGCTCTCTGTCCCACTCAGACTCATAATACTTAGCTTCATGTCTATGTTCTTCAGGTGGATAGTCTACTGGGGGCCGCCAGCGATACCCATCTTCCCCATGACCATAATCCTCTACATAACCCTCTTTATAGTCCTCCTCATATTCCTCATGTGTTGGACCAGGCCGCCACATACCTCGAGCCATTCCTCTACCCATAGGTCTCCTTCTCATTCCTCCTGAATCTATTATCTCATGTGGAGGCATAGTGGGGCCTCTACCATGTGGTGGTTCCCAACCTAACTCTCCCTCCATTCCTTCATCATATGGTGGCTCCTCCATCAAATCCAACATTTCATGAGGTGGTAGCGGGACACGACTCCTGCCTCTACCTACACCAGGGTGCACTGGATGGCCGTGAGGGTCACGGTACAGCATTGCTGGATCCATTTCTGCATCATCACCCTCCATCCCATGGCCTAAGAGATTGTGATCCATTGGCCCATGTGGTGGGTGTAGGGGGTGTCCACGTCCTGGATGCATAAAACCAGGATGCCCTCGTGGAGGACGACCCCTACCAGGTGGAAACGGGGGTCTCATTCCTCTCATTGGAGGTCTCATTTCCCCCCAGTTATGTTCACCTTCCTCTGGATAATTGGCTGACTCAGGGTCTTCCCAGGGCACGCCAGTTGTTTCTCCTCTTCCCATAGGTGGACCTCCTCTTCCCATAGGTGGTCCACCTCTTCCCATAGGTGGTCCACCTCTTCCCATAGGCGGTCCCCCTCTTCCCATGGGTGGCCCCCCTCTTCCCATGGGCGGTCCTCTTCTGTCCATAAGTGGTCCACCTCTACCCATGGGTGGTCCACCTCCTCCAAAAGGAGGCATTCCTCTTCCAATAGGTGGACCTCCCCTTCCCATCGGTGGCCCCCCTCTACCCATTGGTGGACCTCCTCTTGCCATAGGAGGACCACCTCTCCCCATAGGAGGGCCCCCTCTCACTCTGGGAAGTCTTCCTCTCATCATTGGAGGCATTCCTCTTCCTCGATAAGGTCCTCCCATGGGCTCCTCATAATACTCTTCTTCAGCTGAGAAGTGGTAGTTCTCTGGCATCCACATTTCTTCAGGGGGCACCTCTGACTCCCCACCACCATACTCTTTGTATGAAGGATCCTCCCATTGATAGTCTTCCTCCCCTTCTTGCATCTCAAAGTTCTCTTCAGGTTGCTCGTAGTCATAGGACATGTCTCCCATGTCTTCCCCAAGTGGTTCAGCGTTAGGTTCCTTAAGCTCTTCTGCGCTCTTTTGCCCTCGTCCCCGTCCAAGGGGTGTTACTGGGACTGGAGGCTGACCACGTCCCCTTCCAAGGGGAGCCCTTACAGGATCTGGTCTTGACTGCATTTGGACAGAAGCCTGCAGCCCTTGTTGGTTTCCAGAGGGCTTTGGAGCATTTGGGGGTTTACTGTTTATTGTTGGTCCTTCTGGTTTTAGGGGCTTTTGTGCAGCAGAAGCATTATTTGGCTCTGTTGCAGATGGGGCAGTTACAGAGGATACGTTGTTGCCAGGTTTGGATTTTTCACTATTGTTAGAAGCATTAATAGTGTTGAGTTCTTCAGGTGCTGTTTTTGTTTGCAAGGTCTGAGGAATAGGATCATTTTGGACAAAGAAGCCTTCAGCTCCAAGCAAGTTATCATCTGTCATGTCTTCAGCATTTCGCTTTTTATCTTGATCCAAATCATTTTTTTCTTTTTCAGTCTCTGGCTTAACAGTTGTTCTTCCTGTAGTATTGGAATCTGTATTGGCTGGTTGTTTACTGGGTGGCTCTGCCTTAGGTTGGGGACCTTGCTGTGGCCTAGGTGGGCGTTCGAAATGGGGCTGAGGGCCTGAGGGCCTCGGGGGCTGATCGAACCTAGGCTGCTGCCCAAATCGAGGTTGGTCAAATCTGGGTGGACCATCAAAGCGTGGCCTTGGTTGGTCAAATCTAGGGGGGCCATCAAAGCGTTGCCTTGGTTGGTCAAATCTGGGTGGACCATCAAACCGTTGCCTTGGTTGGTCAAATCTAGGGGGGCCATCAAACCGTTGCCTTGGTTGGTCAAATCTAGGGGGCCCATCCAAGTGCTGCTGTGGTTGGTTGAACCTCTGAGGATTATCAAAACGTTGCTGTGGCTGATCAAACCTTGGGGGGCCAGAAAAACCTTGCTGTGGCTGATCAAATCTTGGGGGGCCATCAAAACCTTGTTGTGGCTTATCAAATCTTGGGGGACCGTCAAAACCTTGTTGTGGCTTATCAAATCTTGGGGGACCATCAAAACCTTGTTGTGGCTGATCAAATCTAGGGTTGCTTCCTCTGGAATCATAAATTCAAGAGAAAATGTGACATAAGACATTAATTGAATGAAAAAAGCTGGATAGTATCAAGGAAAGCACATCTATCCTAACATAAAGCAATGCAAATGAAACATATTCATTCAAAACAAAGGAAAACTTTGTTTGCAGGGATTACATTTTAAACAGCATTTTGTCACTTTTCATAGAAGAACTTTAACAAATTGTAAGAAACCATTTCTACTGACCGTGGACCTCTTATACTATTGAAGCCTGGTTGTTGAACAATGCGGGGACCTGGGGGTCTGACAATGCCAGCAGGGCGAGGTCCTCCCACTGGAGGTAGAGCAGATGAATCTGACTGTGGTCCAAAGCCAGTGGGTGGCCCTTGAGGTCTGGTACCAACAGCAACAGGGGAATGCTGCATACCAGGTGTTGTTGACTGCTCCTGCTTCATCTGCATGTCTTGTCCAGGGTACTGGCCATACTGTCCTATCATCCCACTGTTAAACTGGCTTGAGGCAAATGGCACCATGGCAGTAAGAGTTGCCACCCTTTCCTGGAGGTGTGCATTGGTGGCGTTCATCTGATCCTGCCACTGCTGCCACTGGTGCTCGTAATCCTGCAGTTGGTCTTTGTGGGGATAGGTTTTGAACTGTTCTTGCCACAGAACAAAGGAGTGATCCCAGTCTTGGAATAAAGGGGTGAATTGCTGCAGTTGCATTTCATAGTGCCTCAACTGCATTTCAGCTGACATTGACTGTAACAAAAGACATTGTGAAAGAGGTGAAATTTATATTTAGTGTAGTTACCAAGAAGCAACATGTCAAAAAAGACAACACTTGTGGAATTCGTCATTTTTAATGGTTATTATGGCAGAAGATCAATATGGTGGTGGGACTTTATGGTAGGTCTAACAAATACTAATAATAGTTGTGATTTTGATTAGGGCAGGTTAGTCTGTTATTAAAAAGCACAGACCTTGAAATTAAGCTTCTGATCAATACATATTAATTAGAAAAGTATTGTTATGCCCACCGCCCTTTCTTCTGTGTAGCCTAACAATCCTATTGTGGAAATCTATGTGTATGTGTGTGTATGATTGAGTTTTTTTTTCTCTCCATTTCCTGAAACCGCCATGCCTGACTCTTAAATCCAGTGATTTGAATCAGTAACCTCATAGAGTTAAAACGGTGAGTAAAGCCATCTACCTGTACATTTGCATTTTGCTGAATGAGCTGTTGGTATCGTTCCAGGACCTGTTGAAGCTTTTCATGCTGCTGCATCAGAGCCTGATATTGTAAACCTGCTCGCTGCTGCTGCAACTGTTGCCACTGCGCTGCTGCAGATTGTAACTGCTGCATGCGTGCAGCCTCCTCTGGATCCTTTGGCACCTCAGGCTGTGAACATAGAACAAGTGAGGATTAAAAAAAAGCATCTCGTTTTGAACTCATGACATAAATTCAAAGAATCTGTGATGAAAAGGATGAATATTTCATCCAAGTTGAAACAAATCATGACAACCAGCACATTATAGACACATTTAACCTGCAACTCTAAAATGTATTTTAACAGGCCTGGGTATCTCACCAGTCATCAGTTAGGTGTATTATTCATACTGACACCCAGGAAATTTTGAATGCTCGGGATAAAAATAAGTATTTGAGTGCATTTATGTATGGTTGCAAGCAACAGGCAAAGTTCTCACAATGATCATCACCAACAATACCAAGGGAGAGATTAATGGAAGTTCTTTGGTCATGTGTGACAGAGTAGGTATCAAAAGTGCATTCACAAACATGACGATGAAGATAGTGATGATAACACAGTGGTTGCTGGGACTTACTGTATCTGTAAATGCAGACGTTTCCCCTGCATTTTCACTCTGTAAATTCATCCAAAAAAATGCAAACATTCTTTATTTTCTAGTTAATCTGATTAAGTAAATTTGGCTAAACTAAGCTTTCTGAATGAACCAGGGCCACAGGAACAGATGATGTTATTGTCACCAAAACCTTTATGAGTCTTTGCAAGTCAAGGTAGTTTCTTAACTCTATATAGGTAACCTTACTCACAGTGCAACTTGACATTTGGTCATAGGTTCAAGTGCGTCATGCAAGTAGTTGAGTAGACTCAAAACGCAAGAGAAGAGGAGCAGACAGCAGAGTTCCAATACTAGTTGCTTTTCAAATCACAGTTGTTGTTTTTTTTTTTTGTTTTTTTTTTTACATTTCTTAAATTGTTGTTTGCAGTCCCATTCCACTTAAAAACATAAATTACTCAAGGGTAGTTGGAAGACTGTGCTCCATTTCTTGAAGAGTCACAATTTAAAATAATTTTTAAAATAAATTTATTTCTTAAATACAGAATAACTTCCAAATGCAAGAATTTTTATTGACAGATGTCTGTCACCTTTGAGAAGTACTTACCCGTCCCTCTTCTGGAGGCGGAGGGGGTGCTGGAGGTTCCTCTTTTGGGGGGGGCGGAGGTGGTGTGCCCTTAGGGGGTTCTGATGGAGGAGGAGGAGCTCTTTTACCATGAGGTGGAGGTGGCACAGGACCTTCTTTTTGATTCTGTTTGGCCTTTTCTTGTTTCAGCTTCTGAAGATTTTGAAGATGTTTTTTGTACCAAAGTTGCTGTTGTTGCTAGGAATCAAGTGGAAGATGACATCTGTCAGACAAAACAAACTGGGAAACCAGTTCACATCATCTCCACATTTTCCACTCCATAAAGTTGGTATCAAAAGATGAGTTAAATGTAGAAACCTCTCAAGGGATGTCTGAATAAAGATTTCTGATTGAAGGTACATGATACTTGGATGCATGGATTACAAAGTGTAGCCTTGTGACAGACACTGATATTACATTTAATGAAAATAATGTGCAGCTACATCAACACAATGGGGCTTGGTGGTCTTTACTGCAGACAAGCAAACAAGAAATCTGTAATTAACCCTAGAACACCATCGCCGGGTAAATTTTCACCCGACCAAACATGTTTACGTGATTTTCATTATGTTGTGTTTGTCTGAGAATCATGGGTCCCTGGGTAGCTTCAGCATAGCCTTTGACATCTTTGAAGGCATATTTGTTTCCCTGATCAAAAGCCTGCTTTTTCCTACAGGCACGTATTCGGGTGATTTTCACCTGGCAATAGTGATAAAGGGTAAGTAGGTTTGGGTGGATGTGATAGCTGCATGTAGTGAATAAGGTCAGTAATAGTGGTCCTGGAATTTGCATGCTATCTTTATTTAGCGCAATGGTTATGAATAACTATCACAATGTAGTGATTTTCAAGGGAATTCATATGGTAATAAGAAATATTTTACTCAGCTGGTCATTTTTACTCACTCAAAATATGCCATATTTTGGTTCTCTCTCCTGCAGCTGTTATTGTGCCAAGGACCCTGAGTCTTCATCAGGGAAGACTCACATGCCCCAGGATTGGGTGGAACAGAAACTGAATTTACAGTATATGTATGTATGTGTATATATACATATATATATAAGGAATTTTTTGTTCATGAATTCCTAATTTTAGTTATTTTGTTGCATTTTATATGGTCCCCTCATGGCATGTATTGTCCTATTTTGATGACAAGTACTTTTTCTTGGATGTATTATTTCGGGTAAAAATCAGCCGGCGAAAGTGATGGTGTTACTAATTTTAGCGATAGTCTTCTAGGGTTAATAAAGGTCAAGTAAAAAAAGTGAAATCCTTACTTGCAGATGCGAAGCCTTATCTTCGTCCGATAGAGGTGTATCTGTTTTGGGGAGGTCCTTGGCCTCAGGAGCGCCGGTGCTCTCAGGTGGTTTCACTGAAGCTGGCTCTGGAGGAGGAGGGACCGTTGTCGGCTCCTTGGGCATGGAACGCGGTGGAGGTGGAGGAGGCTGTTGGTGACCCGGTTGAGAAGGAGGTGGGCATCTGGCCGCAGAGCCAGGGGTGTCATCTTGTTTGAAGTAGGACTGAGCACCAACACCGCTGTCTGAATGCACCGGTAACGTTGACTCTGAATGCCACGATGGCCCCGAAAATCCCCCCGACTGTCCCCCAGAGTACGTATTGCCACTGGTACCGTGGTGTAACACTGACTGAAGCTGTTTCTGGTGCAGCATCTGCAGCTGCTGCATCTGTTGGAGGTGTTGCTCCTGGAGAGTGGAGAACAGAGAGCCGCCGGCCGAGGCATCGAAGCCGCCAAACGCTGCGGCCGGACCGGCGTGACCACCCCCAGGCTGCTTACGAGGTCCAGGCCCCCCATAGTTTTGCGACTGGGATCCACCAAAATTCCCCCAGGAAGGATACATTGTTAAAAGTCGGTGCAATGTCCACGGTCTTTGTGCTTACATAAAGCCGGGCCCGTGAGGCTACAATTGCTAACAGCTAATACGTCTATATCACGCACAAAAATTGATTACTACATTTTCGGTTTCTGATTGGGATCCACCGAATTGAGAATAATCTTGAACCCAAAACCTGATAATCGAAGTGATCATCAATTCGTGGAAAGAAAACTTCTACCCTGGTTGAATGTGATACACTTTAAGTTGATGGAATCTATTCGTGTTTCGGTGCGAGGGACACACTACTGACGGAAATACGTCTTCTTCGTCTTCTTCTAGTATTTCCGGCAGTTTCAACGCTACTATGCTAATTACTGCCGCCTACTGGTCAGACTTAAAAAAATTGAATTATAAACAAAAAAACAAGGCACTTATTTTTCATAAAAGAAAATTATAGAATATTTGCCTTAGATTGAGCACGAATAACATTAAAAGAGAGAGAGAAAAAACAACACAATTTCAATGTTAGAGGCCATTCTATATCAACATTTTCCTCATTAAAAACACCAAACAAAATATTTCCTGCTGATAAAGGGAGGTCAATGTTTTTGGACTGCAACCAGCTCCACATGTTACTCCAGAAGGGATGTACAGAAAAAAAAACGTCCTACTGGTAAGACTAGGTGTCAAAAATCTCGTCTCATACTATCAAATACAGTCGTGTACCATGTAAAACTGTAAAACTGCTGCCATAATCTGCTGGTGGTTGTCATGGACCAAACCAATCCCTAGTCTGGTTGTGTATTAAATAACATTTCAGATGTGTACATAGAGGGCTTAAATTCAAATACCTTGTAGGCTATGTGTACACATACTAGGCCAATAAAGAAGATTCTGGTGTACTTATGCACCCTATGCTGTTTTTACTTGGAGCACTGCCCAAAAAATGTTTACATACTGGAGAGATACATATTCTGCATATGGTTAATTATTGCAAGAAAATTAGAAAATTATTACTGTGAACTCGATGAAGGCACTTCATCTAATCTAGTCTACATATGATGGAATATGTAAAAGTTGATGCAACTGAAGCTGAACATTTTTCAACAGAGATAGTCTCAAGTGAACTATGGTTTATTTGAATGTCTGAACTCTTAGATATGTAGATCATTTGTCAAGGAAAATTACAAAATATTTTTAAAGCCTTGACTGATATTTAAATAAAGTTAAAAAAAAATTTCTCCCAATCAGTTTAGTCTATTTCAGATCATAAAAAAGAGTTTGAAAAATCCAAACTTATCAACATATCCAACAATTTTAAATTACACCTTTATTCTTAGGTTCTCTATCACATGGCATCTTTATGGTCCGGAACAGTGTAAAACGCATTCATTCTGTCTTCACAGTAGATACATTTTTCTGTAGGCTGTTGTGTTTATGAATCCGAAGCAGTGTGCTATTAGGACCATTGTGCCCAAATTTGCGTCATGTTATCAGTCATGTCTACTCCATCAAATTAAAGTGATTACATTTTATGTCAGAAGATATCATCACAATTAATAGATTTACCCAAAAAAACAAATGCTACTCTACTCTATTTATCAATTAAATTATTTTCTTTAAGTTCTGATTACAAATCGCTCATCTTTCTCTTCTACATCTTCATCTTCTTTTTAAAAAATGTCGTTATTAATATGACGACTGAGTCATGATAGTTACTGTATTGACCTTTATTCACAAACTATATTTACAGTACATCAAATACAACAGGAGAGATTTTTCTTTCTGAGTCACCGTCAACCAACCACAAAGTATGATGCTGTAGAGCTGAACCTGGAGTTTAACACAAGAGGGAGACATTTCCAAAGACATTTTATTAAACAAAGAACATATTACTGTGTCAGTGATGGTCTAAACATCATATTAGACAACACCAGTGATCATTAAATCATAGCCGTTTTAGGAATTGTTTATTTCAATAAAATCTTTGCTCTGAAAAATATAGAGGCTGCAAAGTGAGGTATCATGACTTTGGATAAAATCAATCAATTTAAAAATATCATTTATTATGATATATATTCTGTATAGTTTAATAAATAAACAACCTTAAAATATTTCAGAATACCCCTCCCAGCTTGTGTGTCTATTCAGACTCCAGTATTTGGCTGTCAGAAACTCAGGGATCAGCCTCTGTTTCACATCAGTGAGGGCAGGGTGGGAGTGTAGAACCATGGGAGGCAAAAGACCAGCGACTTTAGGCTGCCCTTGAGGTCTGATACACATAAGAGTATTTTTTCTCTTAAGATCACCAGTAAATCTGTATTAATTTTGACCAGAACCACTTAAAAAGAATCGTTAAAGCGAATTAATCAAGCCCATCCTGTTTAATGTCTCCCGTTAATTAGTTTGTCAGCAGTGTTTTAATATCGCCTAATGACTTCATATTTCACTGATGACATTAAAGGGGTGTTAAAAGAGGGGAAATGGCCCATTCAGGATTCAGTTCCTCCGCTTAAGATGCCCTCGATGAATAAGACAAGGTCATGTAGGCCTAGCCTTTAGGGAGAGATACACTATCAGGGGATGGGGCTGGGAGAAATCCCATAGAGGAGGCTATCTCCCCTCTAAAACAGCATGACGGGCACAATGTGATACAGTTCTGCTTTAGAACAATACACTGCACAGGGGATTCATGATACAGCACAGGGCTGCCATGCTGTACAGGATGGCAGGATAGAGCCACAGTGCTCATTAATACTGATACTAAATGCCTGAGACCTTTTAGATTGAAGATGACTGATTGTTCATCTGTTCTTTTATTTTGAGCATTAACAATAATCATTTCAAGTATTATCCCCAATTTTGCTGAATATAAAAGAACAAAAAAAATGCATAAGAAGTTAACACTTTTCAATCTTCATCAGCACTTTCTGAAGCTTTCTAAGCAAGAACAAAGAAATCAGAAATCGTAAAGTTGCAGCTCCCAGTATTGAGGACACTGCATTTTCTCTGTGATGAAAATCCTATGTTAAACAAAATGCTCAATGGAGGCTAATGGATCCCGAACAAGTCTATGCACTGCTTTCAAAATGCTTTGTTTGACAAATCAATTTTCCCATAACCCGGTGAGGAGAAAAGTGATGCGGATTGATCGCCCCCCCTGACTTTGTTTCCAGAATATTGTTTGATGGCTGGATAGATTAATTGGTATGACATTTGAAAGCCTGCTCTTGACTGTCAGCATCCAAGCTTCTGTGTGCCAATCGAAGCTTGGTCTAATTGTCTCCTCTATAATACCTCACTTCACAAATTAGAGATGCTGCTTCTATAAACTATTCCCAATGTAAGAGCAAACAACATCACACTGCTCAATCAGCCGCTGGTTTGAATAGGGGTGATGCTGTGTTGATAAGATAGAGTGCATTAAAGGGCATCACATAAAGTGCTGTGCCAGCACATCTCCCTCTCAGCACAGTGGATGTAAAATATACAAATAAAATACCATCAGCTGCTGCTGCAGGTAAATACATTTCAGGCATTTTTAATCTGCAAAAGGAGGAAGTATTAGAATTTTGAGGGGGCGTTTTATTTGGATAAACTGTAACAAGGAAACAATGGGTAAATGATCTTAATATAAAACACTGCCAATGATGATTGTGTGGTGAAATGTAAATTTCAAGATCTACAGAATCACAATATCTCTTTCTCTCATATTTTTAATGAAGTAAAAAACAGTCCACTTTATTTAAAGAAAGAACATATACATAGACATTCCACAGATGAAAATTTAATTTAATTTGGCTACCCCAGTTTCAGGATAATTATGCAGGGATGCAGGATCAGCTTCACACTGTCATGGCTACTGGAACACCTAAATATCATAATCATCATTAAAATCCCAGTTACCTACAATCTTAAACTGTAATATGTTTTCTGTAATAAATGTTTGCTGTGTACTGTGATACCTGTCCTTCCTCTTATTGCATTTGTGTAATTTTGGTAAAGAAACATTATTTAATTCTATAATTTCATTTTATGATTTTTCTCTGGACTACAGACTATTTTTCTAATTCTCTCTTCCCTCCAAAATATTGTACAGGGCTCAATAATGTATCACTCATAAAAGCTGATACAAAAAAGAAAAATCTTTGGTTTTCATGGATAAAATACCAAAACATAAAACATCATCATCAGGATCATTATTAGTAAATATCCCAACCTGGTTCCAATGTAAAATAATAAAATGCAGCATATTTCATTCTTATTTAAAAGGAAATCAAAATAGAAATACGCTAACATGGCCTGGTAGTTTCATCATGCGCCCCACAGTCCTCATAACAGTGGACGAATCCCCATATTTTGTCTCTCGCTAGTTCTCTACCTAATACTGATAAAAATGCCAGAAAAATTTCTTTAGAATAACATTTTGGACATGCGTCAGCCTACCTCAAATGAAACAAGCTAGAGTAGTTATATTCCTTGTAGTAAACGATATAAAGTTTGCTGTTCTCAATGAGAACTATATGTATGAATTATAACACAGACAGGGCCAAAAAGGAAAACTTTGTGTGGTGGAAGTGTATCTTTGATATTGTTAGAGCATGCATATTAGAGTGAGTTTGACAGTTGCACATCAAAGTGTATTGAAATCCTTTCATGGCCTCAATTATTGTGTAAAAAAACCTGCAAATGGAAACATAATTGTAGTCCATACTAGTTTTCTGTGTAAAAGAATCAAATTTCATTGAATCAAATGAGAATATAGTATGAATGGTATCAGCCCCTTTTTTGTCCCACCATTTATTTATCATTCATGATGACTAATTGCCTGACTTGACTTCAATTTTGTGGGCTGGGTCTCTCTCTGAGCAAGCTGCTTAGCTGCCCACCTCCCTATCACCCCAACACACCCATTCGCCTTTGAAAAACTGTAATTGAATGAGTTTATGTCGTCACATTGATTAATCATATTAATTTGTACTTATTAGTGGGATGGTTGAAAGCGATGACAATTAGATTAATGAAATTAGTTAATTCTTTCTACCCACACCAACTCCCAACTATAAGAGAGGAAAAGGCATAGAAAGGGAGGCTGTTATGACAAAATTGGCAATCATGATTTGGCTGCTAATTGAATCTCTGCTTTTATTAATGATGAGGTTTATAGAAGGACCTTGAGAAAGGAATATTAATTGATTAATCAAAGCCCTGAAAATTAAGGGAGGAGTTTAAAAAGCAAAGGTCTGGATATCTCTACTATAATTGATTGTGCATCTTTTTACCTGTTTGATAAACAATACTGATTTGTGATGTCTGACTATTAGGCA